GTGCTGGAAACTATGAACCCAGACAGACTATTTTTATTGTTGTATATTTCCTTTGCCCTCCTTCCCTGTAATCTCTCCTTCCCCTGCTTTTCCCTCCCTCCCTTCCTCCCTCCCTCCCTCCCTCGGTCCATCCCTCCCTCCCCCCTTTTCTTACTTCATGAACTTATTTTGGGAGCTTATGAAATGAATTCCCATTAAGCACCTAGGCCAGAAGTTCCCTTGAGTACTACTAAAAAGTTGGGTGTCACCCCGCTCCTGCCCCCTAGCCTTTTTTCACCCTTATTTACACATTTTGAAGAAACACGGTATTTCTATTCCTCAGAGATCACATAAGGAGAAAAATAAGTAATAAAAAAATTACAACTTTTCTTTCCATCATTTTAAAATATGCCTCTGACCCACTTGCAATTCATATCTGGTTCCACCTTCAGCTATTTCATAGCTAGGCTGTGGTGGCGCACGCCTTTAATCCCAGCTCTTGGGAAGCAGAGACAGGCGGATCTCTGAGTTTCAGGCCAGTCTCAAAAGCTACAAAGAAACACTGTGAATCTTTCAGTATAATTTAAGTTGTGGGAATATAGTTTTGCTTCTCAAATACAACATAATATGTTGATTCTTACTAGTATTTTTGTTCCTATTTCGTTTTAATGAAGCAGTTTTTAATACAGAGCTCTGCAGAAAGGGATGCCTCCATAAAGAAAAAAGCAAAAGTGATTTTCATGCTGATTGAGCACAATACAATGCCTTTTTTCCTGCCTCACTTGCAATTTCTCTTTTTTAAAATTGAATTATCCTCATACAATATATTTTGATAGTTTTTTTCCACTCCCCTCACTACTCCCAGGTCCCTCCCCACCTCCATTTCCACCCAGTTTTATGTTTGTTTCTCTCTAAAACAAAAATAAAAATAAAAAACCCTGCAAAACAAAATAACCAAAATTCAAAACAAAAAATATATAAGACAACCCTCCCCCCCACACACAGATACCAAACACAGAAAGTGTTCATTTTGTGTTAATTATTTCTGGGCACAGGGCATGCACTGAAGTGTAGTTAATATACCCAGTGAGATTCCACTATAGGAAACTGATTTCCCCGTTACCACCATACATCAGTTACGACTAATTTTGGTTAGGGGTAGGACCCTGTATCCACTTCTTCCTCTAACTATTGGCTCCTCGTCTGACTTAAACCTATGCAGATCTTGTACATGTTACTGTAATTTCTGTGAGTTCATATGTCCATCAGTCCTGTTATATCTGAAGGACAATGTTTCCTGGGAGTTGTCTGTCATCTCTGGCTCCTTTCTGACTCCTTTTCTGCATAGATCCCTAAGCCTTGAGGGGGAAGGGGCTGATAAAGACATCGCCCTTGCTCCAAAGTCTCTCACTCACTGTGCATTGTCAAGTTGGGGGTCTTTGTGTTAATTTCCATCTACTGTAAGAAGAAAGCAAGGGTTGAGTGATACACTCATCTATGGATATATCAATATGTCATTAGGACTCATCTTCTTGCTTTGTTCCTTCAGTATGTTCCCCCGCTCCCAGGACCCATGACCTATTGACTCTTAGATTCTTGCCAACTTTAGTGATATCAGGTAAAGATTCTATTTCATGGAGTGGGCCTTAAATACCAATCAAACAGTGGTCAGTTACTCCTATAATATTTGTGCCACTATTGTCCCAATATATCTTACATGAAACTTCCTGTTATAGGTCTATAGATTTATAGATTTTTTATATTGATAATTAAATTTCTCCCCCTGTCACTTAATGTCTTATTTGGTAACATTAGATGTTTAGTTAAGGCTTTGTCTCCCCTGTTATATTATGACTTCATTTAAATTCATATATATGAAAGTTTATATACACATACATATATATATAAGCTGTGGTGGTTTGATAGAAAATGGCCCCCAAAGGGAGTGACACTATTAGGAGGTGTGGCCTTATTAGGTGGGATCTTGTTGGAGGAAGTGTGTCATTGTGGAGGTGGTTCTCAACTCATGGGTCTTGACCCCTCTGGGGGCCAAACAACATTTTCACAGGGCTTACCTCAGCCCATCAAAAATATCAGCTGTTTACATTATGATTCCTAACAGTAGCAGAATTATACTTGGGAAGTAGCAACAAAAATAATGTTATGGTCGGTGGGTCACCACAGTATGAGAAACTGTATTAAAGTATCTCGTGTAGCATTAGGAAGGTTGAGGACCACTGAACTAGAGGGAGGTAGGCTAAGGGGACAATGGGCCAACAGCCCAGCATACTATGTTACTGCTCAGCACTACTGAGAGTCAGGTTCCCTTATGTTCTTTGTCTGTCCATCCTGGGTGCCGGGTCAAATGGGAGCTGGCCATTGACCCAGTTGCTAACATTTCTCTAAACAACAACAAAACCTCTTCTTGTCTCTCTGTCATTATGCTTTGTTCTTTTAAATTTCCTTTCCTCTCAACATGCCAACTTTTATCGCATCAGTTCCACTCCATAAATCCATGCTCTCCTCAACTTCGATGAGTGCCTAGCAAATGTTCCCTTGGTCAATTTTCTTGACTAGCAGTGCTCCTTGTCTGCATTCTGTGTGCAATTGATTCCTCATCTCCATTGCTGACACCTCCTAAGATATTCTTGTATTGTTTATTGTCTTTAAATCAAGAGACATGAATTTTTCCTGGGTTATTATTTTTTTGACTGGTGGGTCCTGTCGGTTTCCTGTGTTGTCTGCCAGGATGTTGGTTGAATCTTCAGTTGAGCCCAAAAGCTAGAAAACTATGGAAGACATAAATTGTGTGCCTTTTCACATTCTAGAGGTACTTTGTGTGTTAATTCTTCTCTAGGTTTTCTGGAATTATTGGTCCCCTGTGCATTGCTGCCTTTCTGCTGACCATGGCACAAAGCTTGGGGTTCCCCTTGCTGCTGCTCTGTGCTTCAGGGAGAGATTCTGAGTGTCCCCATTTCTCTCTGGTAAAATGTGACTTTAGCTGGGGCCTGCTTCCCAGGGCTGGCACCCAGAGGTCCTTTGCAACTTGATTGTCTTGATACTGTGTTTTCTTGGAAGGAAGAGTGGTTAAAAATAGTGGAATAAGCCACTCTTGGTCATTTCAGTTGTCTTGATTAGAAGGCTTTAGCCACAAGGGCTGTGTAGGTGGTGTTTGTAAGCGAGATGGGAGGTTGTTTCAGTAAAGGCAGTCCTCACTTTCCTGTTTGGCTATCCTTGTGTTGGGAGCTTCTGTCTCATTGGTCATTCCTTCAGAAGACATCTGCTTGGTAAAGTTTAGTCAAACCCAGGCCCTGCATCCATATGTCATTTAGCCAGGGACAATGAGCACGCCATGTTTGCCGAGCTCTTTCCAGAATATGCCTTCAAGCTGCTTCTTTCTCCTTTCTGGGAAGCATATGAATGGCCACATTTACACTTGTCCACACATATGTACAGCAATCCTTGTACACAAGCATATGGATGTCTTTTTAATTATACCACATTGTTCTAAAAAAAAGTTGATGCCTCTTTTGAATTGCATTCTGGTGTGTGACAAAGTAGAAGCCTGTGGTTAGCTTGAATTTTTGCTACTTTTAAAGCAATACGTTTTATTTTCTCAAACCTTTTCCAGTATTGTTTTTTCTTACTCGTTAGAATAATAAAATTATAATGGTGTATGTTAGACTTTTTTCTTTTCACTTTTTGGCCTGATTTTTAAAAAAAAAATCTGTTCTCACTTGCTTGTGTTGGACATTGCCAGTACAGTAGAGACTACCCTCAGTTAAATCTTCTCTGTATTCTATGCTATTGAAATTTTTGGACACTTGCTACTTGGATAACCAACCTTTTGTCTACTTTTCAAGGTTGAATTTGAATCTTTTTTAAAATTTTGAGTCATTTTTATAAACATCAGGAGAAGGATAGTACATAACTTGTCAATACTGGGGTTTTGGAGTAACCAAATGTCCTAAGGCTCCAGATTCAAGGGCAAACTTTGTCAAGTAGTCCACCTATTCTGTCTTGCTAATGCAAGCTTGTGGATACTTTGAAATCAGGAAGGTGAGACAGATAGCATAAACCCACATACAATGGAGATGTGACAGTGATTTTAAGTGTTCTACCAAGACTTTTCTTGTCTGGGTATCTGAGAGGATCAGTACCTTTGATTAACAATAATTACAGTAATTTTATCAATAGCATCTTACAGAATTACTAAGAGTTTCATGGTCTATTATGGCATCTGATCTTGATATCAGCATTTCAGCTTCTGAACTTTGTTTCATGATGTTTTATTTTTATAATCCTCAAGGAAGCTACCTAGCTTACCTGATATGCATAGACGATACTTTATGATGCAAAAGCCAAATCAACATTTGATTTTGAGGCTGTACTATTTGGTTATCAAATATCCTGAAGAGGTACTTGTCCTCCACAGCCCTGGATACCATGCTTTGATTGCCTGCAGACATTGTATTGCCACCCACATACTGTGCTTCTCTTTTACAATGATTTCTATGTAAGGAGACTGTGCCTCTTCACTTCTCTCAGATGATCTAGAATCCTCAGTTTACTACCCATCCACATTTTGGACAACTGCATTATTCCTGTCTGCCAACATAACTTACTTGCATCTAACTTTTCCATAGCCTTCTGTGGCTATACTTCTACTCTATACCTTCCCATAAGTCTTGAAACATCTATAGGCTGTTGGGCTATGTTTCTCTATAGTTACTGCTAAACAAAGTGCCTTTGCTAGGGAAGAGTGTCAGGGATGTCTGGTGGTGTTTGGTGATAGTCTTTCCTATATCCAATTAGAGACTAACTGACACATTGGGAAAAAGAAAATTATCAGAAATTTAGAACCTTCACAAAATGAATGAGTACTCCAAAATGTTGGGCGTGTTCTCGCTTTATCCTTTTATAAATTGCTACTTTAGCACTGTAACTTTTTTCTTTCAGGTACATTGGAGTAAAAAAACAACGTTCAAAACTATAAAGAAATGGGTCATCACAGTTTTAGAATTATTCTTTGATTCCTTTATTCTAATGAAGTTATCTTGTCCTCTGTAGGTTACGGTCTTTGGTCAAGCAGTTGGAGCGTGGGGAGGCCTCTGTGGTAGATCTAAAGAAGAACCTGGAATATGCAGCGACAGTGCTTGAATCTGTATACATTGATGAAACAAGGTAAGTTACAAAAGAGATTTAAGAATGCTAGCCGGACGTTGGTGGTTCACGCCTTTAATACCAGCCCTCGAGAGGAAGAGGCAGGCAGATCTCTGTGAGTTCGATTCCAGGCTGGTCTGACAGCCTCCAAAACAATACAGAGAAACCCTATCTTGTAAAACCAAAAAACCAACAAACAAACAAAAAACAAAAAGAAGGCAATGCTAGATTTTCTGTCCAACAGCACACCACCCCTCCATCCCCCACCCCCGGGGAGCCCGCCCCATGGTAGGTCTAGGGTGTGGTCAGATCGCTGACTCTGAGACATAAGTTTCTGTGAACCAATGGGAAAGAGCTGGAAAAGCTGCTCCCTCAACTATGAATTATCAGCAGAACTTACTGCATGGATAATCGAATGGAGTTAGAGCAGAAAGGGCAATTCTTTTCTTTTTTGTCATTTTAAGCTGGGTATCTTTTGCTTTATTTCTGGTATCCACTTATGAGTGAGTACATACTATATTTGTCTTTCTAATTTGGCTTACCTCACTTTGGATGTTTTTTTTTCTCGGTATGCCCATTTGCCTGCGAATTTTAGGATGTCATTGTTTTTTACCTCTGAGTAGTACTCCATTGTGTAAATATACCACATTTTTTTAATCCCTTCTTCAGTTGAGGGGCATCTAGGCTGTTTCCAAGATCTGTCTATTACAAATAATATTTCTATGAACATAGTTGAGCAAATGTCCTTGTGGTGTGAATGTGCCTCCTTTGGGTGTATGCCCAACAGTGGTATTTCAGGGTTTTGAGGTAGGTGGCAATTCTTAAGAGCCTGGCAAGGTTTCTCCCAGATGTATAGTCCTACTGTGATGGCTACATTCTTACTGTGTCAGTCTAAAATGTGTGTTTGAATCCATCATCTCTGTCAGCAACTAGAGGTTCCTGAAGTGATCATGTCCCCAGCATCCCTCCTTCAGCAACATTTCCACTTGAATTATACAAGTACCAGAGCAATTGCAGGCACTAACATTGATTTTGAAAGAAATACAACTGCTTTCCTTTTGGAAACTGTTGAAATGTTGACTGTAAAAGCCTCCAGTCAGACAGGCTCCTTAGTATGTGTGATGTCTTAGGTCACCAAACTCAAATCTGAAAGGATTTCGCTACAATCTGTAGGTTGTTGGCTTATTTTTTTAATGATGCGATCCATTACTTATTTTAGGGATTCGATAACACAGTTTTTCCCCTTTACCTAAATGAATATGTATAAATACATGCAACAATAAAAAGCATCTTTACACTGATGGTCTTTTTTACTGCTCATTTTTAATAGGGCTTCAATAGATGACAATAATTTTGGCTCTATTATAACTACTTTTGTTCCTCTTTAGTGCTCTGACCAATTAACTTGGACAAATCAGAGAAGTACATTCACAGATGGTTTAAGTTACTGGGCTCAAATGAAGAACTGCATTGTTTTGGGGAGTTTCCTGGAATTTAGAAGCTCATGTTTCTATTATCTCCCATTGAATTAAGGGGCATCGGTTGGTATCCCTTAAATTATTGCTTTAAAGTACTTGGTTGTTATGATTTGTGCAATGTTTTTCAGTCTCTAGGCATTTCTTTCAATACTATCTCTGGTCGGGTCTTAGCACTTTACACACTTTTATATTTGTGTCTTTGGAGGACAGGTCAGATCCAATTTATTCAAAGACATACCATTATGAACTTTCACAGGCCTTGCCAAAAAGCTTGCTTCCCCAACCCCATTTGTGTGGTGTGTGTGTGTGTGTGTGTGTGTGTGTGTGTGTGTATGTGATTTTTTTTTTTCATTTTTATTTTTATTTTTTTTATATTAATATTTTTTTTATTTTCCATTTTAAATTTAGATAAGAAACAAGGTTGCTTCACAAGTCAGTACGAGGTCCCTCTCCCTTTCCCTCCCCTCCTCCTGTGCCCTCCCCCCATCCCCCCCCCCGTTATCCCCTCATTCCCCCAGGGAGGGTGAGGCCCTCCATGGGGGTGTCCATAGTCTGTCATTTCATATAGGGCAGGGCCTAGACCCTTCCCCAAGAGTTCAGGGTGAGAGTGCACCTCACATTGTTCTATGGGAGTCCAGAGACCGTGTGTATACTTGGGATGGGTACTGATCTGCTGTCCAAGGCTCAATAGATTACCTAGGCCTCCTCACTGACACCCAGATTCAGGGGGTCTTGATCAGTCCCATGCTGGATTCCCAGGCTGATGCCTGGGATTCAAGAGTTAACCTTTGTCTGGTCAGCTGTTTCTGGGGGTTCAACCAGCCCAGTCTTAATCCCTTTGATCATCAGTCCTCCCTCTCTGATACTGGCTTTCTTGAGTTCAGCTCAGTACTTAACCAGCCAGTAAATGAAGTTTCTGTTTCCCAGACTCTCTGGCAATAGGATTGTAGGCTGGCACTCCCCAGATCTATGTCTAAAATCCATATATGAGAGAGTACATGCCATGTTTCTCTTTTTGTGACTGGGTTACCTCACTCAGGATGGTTTCTTCTAGTGTCATCCATTTGCCTGCGAATCTCATGATTCCATTATTTTTTCTGCTGAATAGTACTCCATTGTGTAGATGTACCACATTTTCTCTATCCATTCTTCGGGTGAGGGACATCTAGGTTGCTTCCAAGTTCTGGCTATTACAAATAAAGCTGCTATGAACATAGTGGAACAGACATCTTTGTTATATGAATGGGCATCTTTTGGATATATGCCTAAGAGTGCAGTTGCTGGGTCTTGTGGTAGGTTTATTCCCATTTTTCTGAGGAATCTCCATACTGCTTTCCAAAGTGGCTGAACCAGTTGGCACTCCCACCAGCAATGGAGGAGTGTCCCCCTTTCACCACATCCTCTCCAGCATAAATTGTCATTGGTGTTTTTGATTTTAGCCATTCTGACAGGAGTGAGATGGTATCTCAGAGTTGCTTTGATTTGCATTTCCCGGATGGCTAAGGATGTTGAGCACTTTCTCAAGTGCCTCTCAGCCATTTTAGACTCCTCTATTGAAAACTCTCTATTTAGTTCTGCAGCCCACTTCTTAATTGGGTCCTTTGCTGTTTTGGAGACTTGCTTCTTGAGTTCTTTGTAAATTTTGGAGATCAACCCTCTGTCAGATGTGGGATTAGTGAATATTTTTTCCCATTCTGTGGGCTGCCTTTTTGTCTTGCTGACTGTGTCCTTTGCCTTACAGAAGCTTCTCAGTTTCAGTAGGTCCCATTTATTAATTGTTGATCTCACTGTCTGTGCTACTGGTGTTATGTTCAGGAAGCTGTCTCCTGTACCAATTCTTTCAAGGGTACCACCCACTTTCTCTTCTAAGAGGTTCAGTGTGGCTGGATTTATGTTGAGGTCTTTGATCCATTTGGACTTAAGTTTTGTGCATGGCGATAAACATGGATCGATCCGCATTTTTCTACATGCCAGTCTCCAATTATGCCAGCACCATTTGTTGAAGATGCTTTCTTTATTCCATTGTATATTTTTAGCTTCTTTGTCGAAGATCAGATGTTCGTACGTGTGTGGGTTAATACCCGGATTTTCAATTCGATTCCATTGGTCTGCCTGTCTATTTTTGTGCCAATACCAAGCTGTTTTCAGGACTATAGCTCTATAATAGAGCTTGAGGTCAGGGATAGTGATGCCTCCGGACGTTGCCTTGTTGAACAGGGTTGTTTTGGCTATCCTGGGTCTTTTGTTTTTCCATACAAAATTGATTATTGTTCTTTCAAGGTCTGTGAAGAATTGTGCTGGGATTTTAATGGGGATAGCATTGAATCTGTAGATTGCTTTTGGCAGGATTGCCATTTTTACTACATTGATCCTACCTATCCAAGAGCATGGGAGATCTTTCCATTTTCTGAGGGCTTCTTTAATTTCTTTCTTTAAAGATTCAAAGTTCTTACGATACAGGTCTTTCACTTGTTTGGTTAGCGTTACCCCAAGGTATTTTATGTTGTTTGTGGCAATTGTAAAGGGTGATGTTTCTCTGATTTCTCTTTCAGCCCTTTTATCATCTGTATATAGTAGGGCTACTGACTTTCTTGAGTTGATCTTGTAACCTGCCACTTTGCTGAAGGTGTTAATCAGCTGTAAGAGTTCCCTGGTAGAGTTCTTTGGGTCACTGATATAAACTATCATATCGTCTGCAAACAGTGAAAGTTTGACTTCTTCCTTCCCAATTTGTATCCCCTTGATCCCCCTTTGTTGTCGTATGGCTATAGCTAGAACTTCAAGTACCATGTTGAAAAGGTATGGAGAGAGTGGACAGCCTTGTTTTGTTCCTGATTTTAGAGGAATTGCGTTGAGTTTCTGTCCATTTAGTTTGATGTTGGCTGTTGGTTTACTGTATATGGCTTTTATTATGTTTAAGTATGTCCCTGTTATCCCAGATCTCTCCAAGACCTTTATCATGAAGGGATGTTGGATTTTGTCAAAGGCTTTTTCAGCATCTAGTGAGATGATCATGTGATTTTTGTTTTTCAGCTTGTTTATATGGTGGATTACGTTGATGGATTTTCGTATGTTGAACCATCCCTGCATCCCTGGGATGAAACCTACTTGATCGTGGTGAATGATTGTTTTGATGTGTTCTTGGATCCGATTTGCCAGTATTTTATTGAGTATTTTTGCATCAATGTTCATGAGGGATATTGGTCTGAAGTTCTCTTTCTTGGTTGTATCTTTGTGTGGCTTGGGGATCAAGGTTATTGAAGCCTCATAGAAAGAGTTTGGCAAAGACCCTTCTGCTTCTATTGTGTGGAACACTTTGAGAAGAATTGGTATAAGCTGTTCTTTGAATTTGTGGTAGAATTCTGCACTGAGGCCATCTGGACCTGGACTTTTTTTGGTTGGGAGACTTTTGATGACAGCTTCTATTTCCATAGGGGTTATAGGTCTATTTAAATTGCTTATCTGTTCTTGATTTAGTTTTGGCAAATGATAGCTGTCCAGGAAGTCATCCATTTCCTTTAAATTTTCGAATTTTGTGGAGTACAGGTTTTCAAAGTATGACCTAATGATTCTCTGGATTTCCTCAGAGTCTGTTGTTATGTCCCCCTTTTCATTTCTGATTTTGTTAATTTGCGTGTTCACTCTCTGCTGTTTGGTAAGTTTGGACAAAGGTTTGTCTATCTTGTTGATTTTCTCAAAGAACCAACTCTTCGTTGCATTGATTCTTTGTATTGTTTTCCTGGTTTCTACTTTGTTGATTTCAGCCCTCAATTTGATTATTTCCTGGCGTCTACTCCTCCTGGGGGAGTTTGCTTCTTTGTGTTCTAGAGCTTTTAGCTGTGATGTTAATTCTCTGGTATAACTGTTTTCCTGTTTCTTCATGTGAGCACTTAGTGCTATGAACTTCCCCGTAGCACTGCTTTCAAAGTGTCCCATAGGTTTGGGTATGTTGTGTCTTCATTCTCATTGAGTTCGAGGAAGTCTTTAATTTCTTTTTTTATTTCCTCTTTGACCCAGGGATGGTGCAGTTGAGCATTATTCAATTTCCATGAGTTTGTAGGTTTTCTGCACTTTGTGTTGTTGTTGAATTCTAGTTTTAAGGCATGGTGGTCTGATAAGATGCATGGAGTTATTCCAATTTTTTTGTAGCTGCTGAGGTTTGATATGTTGCCAAGTATGTGGTCGATTTTTGAGAAGGTTCCATGTGGTGGTGAGAAGAAGGTATATTCTTTTTTATGTGGATGAAATGTTCTATAGATATCTGTTAATCCCAGTTGGGTCATTACTTCTATTAGACCCTTTGCTTCTTTGTTGAGTTCCTGTCTGGTATTCTTGTCTAGTGGTGAGAGTGGTGTGTTGAAATCTCCCACTATAACTGTGTGGGGCTTTAGATGAGATTTAAGTTCTAATAATGTTTCTTTAACGAATGTGGATGCCTTTGTATTGGGGGCATAGATGTTCAGGATAGACACTTCGTCTTGGTGGGTTTCACCTGTGATGAGTATGTAATGACCTCCTTCATCTCTTTTGATTGATTTTATTTTAAAGTCTAGTTTGTTAGATATTAGGATTGCTACCCCTGCTTGTTTCTTGGGTCCATTTGATTGAAAAATTTTTCCCAACCTTTAACTCTCAAGTAATGTCTGTCTTTGAGGGTGAGGTGTGTTTCTTGTATGCAGCAGAAGGAAGGGTTCTGTCTTCGAATCCATTCTGCTAGTCTGTGTCTTTTTATGGGTGAGTTAAGGCCATTAATATTGAGGGATATTAATGACCATTGATTGCTCATCCTTCTTCGATTTGCGATGGTTGTTGTTGGTGGAATTATGGGTGGAATTTCGCCCCTTTGTTCTTTTGGCTGTTGGTAGAGAGGGATTCTCTAATGCTTATGTTTTTCTGGTTGTAGTTAGCTTCCTTGGGTTGGAGTTTTCCTTCCAAAATTTTCTGTAGGGCTGGGTTAGTGGACACATATTGGTTGAATCTAGTTTTGTCATGGAATATCTTGTTTTCTCCGTCTATAGTGATTGAGAGCTTTGCCGGGTATAGTAGTCTGGGCTGGCATCCATGGTCTCTTAGTGTAGGTAGAATATCTATCCAGGACCTTCTGGCTTTCAGAGTTTCCATGGAGAAATCAGGTGTAATTCTGATAGGTCTGCCTTTATATGTTACTTGACCTTTTTCCTTAGCTGCTCTTAATATTCTTTCTTTATTCTGTATGTTTGGGGTCTTGATTATTATGTGGCGAGGGATTTTTTTTGTGGTCCACTCTATTTGGTGTTCTGTAGGCTTCTTGTACCTTCATTGGCATGTCTTTCTTAAGGTTGGGAAAGTTTTCTTCTATGATTTTGTTGAATATGCCTTCTGCCCCTTTGAGGTGGATTTCTTCTCCTTCTTCTATACCTATTATTCTTAGGTTTGGTCTTTTCATGGTGTCCCATAATTCCTGGATGTTTTGTGTTAAGGATTTGTTGGATTTAAGGTTTTCTTTGGTTGATAAATCCATTTCTCCTAATGTATCTTCAACACTTGAGATTCTCTCTTCCATCTCTTCTATTCTGTTGGTAATGCTTGTATTGGTAGTGCCTGACTGTTTGTCCAGCTTTTCTATTTTCTGCCTTTCTTCAGATTGTGTTTTTTTTAGTGTCTCTATTTCAGTTTTCAACCCTTGCAGCATTTGCATTGCTTCTTGCAATTTTCTGTTTATCTGTTCGTCCGTTTGTTGCCTTTTATGAATTTTTTGGTTTGTTCTTTCTTCCATTTCTTGCATTTTTTGGTTTGCTTTTTGTTCCATTTCTTGGATTTTGTGCTTTGTTTCTTCTTCCCTTTCCTGCCTTTTTTGGTTTGTTTCTTCCTCCATTTTTTTATTTTTTGCTTTGTTTTTTCTACCATTTCTTGCATTTTTTGCTTTGTTGCTTCTTCCATTTCCTGCCTTATTTGGTATGTTTCTTCTTCTAATTCTTGCATTTTTTGCTTTGCTTTTTCTTCCATTTCTTGCATTTTTTGCTTCATTTCTTCTTCCATTTCGTGCCGTTTTTGGTTTGTTTTTTCTTCCAATTCTTGCATTTTTTGGTTTGTTTTTTCTTCCATTTCTTGCATTTTTTGGTTTGTTTTTTCTTCCATTTCTTTGAGGGATTTTCCAATATCCTCTTTTAGGGCCTCTATCATTTTCATGAAAGTGCTTTTAAGATCGTTCTCTTCTGCTTCCTTCGCGTTTGAATATTGGGGTCTTGCTGGTGTGGAGTCTCTAGAATCTGGCGGTGTCATATTTGTTTTTCTGTTGCTGACTGTGTTTTTGTATTGTCTCTTTCCCATCTCTTCTTTTAGTGGGTGCAGAAAGAGACCCTTCCTGGTCTGGGGACCAGAGTTCCCTTTGGTGGGTGCTAGTAAGTCCAGTAATCTGGTGGTTCTTCTATGCCTTGTCCAAATGCTGGTCCGTGGGTAGAGAAGAAGAACAGGAATCTGGGGCGCTTAGCCTCCTACCTGGTCCCCTGGACCCTATGCTGGGTCCTGTTGTACCTGATCCGGAACAGCTACTCCCCTGGTCTCCCTGGTTCCTGTAGTTTCCTGGTCTCTTTGGTGGGAGAGAAGATCTGGAGTCTGGGGTGCTTGGCTCCCGCCGGGATTGGGAGCTCTGTGCAGTTCCCAGGCGATCTGCAGGCTCTGGAACTCAGGCTGGGAAGCTGGCCTGTTTACCTGATGATGCCAGAGGGACAGCTACTTCCCTGTACTCCCAGCCTCCTCTCCTTTCCTGGAATCGTTGGTGGGAGAGAAGATCTGGAGTCTGGGGTGCTTTGCTCCCGCCGGTATTGGGAGCTCTGTGCAGTTCCCAGGCGATCTGCAGGCTCTGGAACACAGGCCGGGAAGCTGGCCTGTTTACCTGATGCTCCCACCGGGATTGGGAGCTCTGTGCAGTTCCCAGGTGATCTGCAGGCTCTGGAACACAGGCCGGGAAGCTGGCCTGTTTACCTGGTGCTCCCGCCGGGATTGGGAGCTCTGTGCAGTTCCCAGGCGATCTGCAGGCTCTGGAACTCAGGCCGGGAAGCTGGCCTGTTTACCTGATGATGCCAGAGGGACAGCTACTTCCCTGTACTCCCAGCCTCCTCTCCTTTCCTGGAATCGTTGGTGGGAGAGAAGATCTGGAGTCTGGGGTGCTTTGCTCCCGCCGGGATTGGGAGCTCTGTGCAGTTCCCAGGAGATCTGCAGGCTCTGGAACACAGGCCGGGAAGCTGGCCTGTTTACCTGATGCTCCCGCCGGGATTGGGAGCTCTGTGCAGTTCCCAGGCGATCTGCAGGCTCTGGAACTCAGGCCGGGAAGCTGGCCTGTTTACCTGATGATGCCAGAGGGACAGCTACTTCCCTGTACTCCCAGCCTCCTCTCCTTTCCTGGAATCGTTGGTGGGAGAGAAGATCTGGAGTCTGGGGTGCTTTGCTCCCGCCGGGATTGGGAGCTCTGTGCAGTTCCCAGGAGATCTGCAGGCTCTGGAACACAGGCCGGGAAGCTGGCCTGTTTACCTGATGCTCCCGCCGGGATTGGGAGCTCTGTGCAGTTCCCAGGCGATCTGCAGGCTCTGGAACTCAGGCCGGGAAGCTGGCCTGTTTACCTGATGATGCCAGAGGGACAGCTACTTCCCTGTACTCCCAGCCTCCTCTCCTTTCCTGGAATCGTTGGTGGGAGAGAAGATCTGGAGTCTGGGGTGCTTTGCTCCCGCCGGGATTGGGAGCTCTGTGCAGTTCCCAGGAGATCTGCAGGCTCTGGAACACAGGCCGGGAAGCTGGCCTGTTTACCTGATGCTCCCGCCGGGATTGGGAGCTCTGTGCAGTTCCCAGGTGATCTGCAGGCTCTGGAACTCAGGCCGGGAAGCTGGCCTGTTTACCTGATGATGCCAGAGGGACAGCTACTTCCCTGTACTCCCAGCCTCCTCTCCTTTCCTGGAATCGTTGGTGGGAGAGAAGATCTGGAGTCTGGGGTGCTTTGCTCCCGCCGGGATTGGGAGCTCTGTGCAGTTCCCAGGCGATCTGCAGGCTCTGGAACACAGGCCGGGAAGCTGGCCTGTTTACCTGATGCTCCCGCCGGGATTGGGAGCTCTGTGCAGTTCCCAGGCGATCTGCAGGCTCTGGAACTCAGGCCGGGAAGCTGGCCTGTTTACCTGATGATGCCAGAGGGACCGTGTATGTGATTTTATATCATCTTTTTGTTTACATTTCAGGGTGTCAGATAATTCTAGATTGCGTCTCTGACTGTGTCTTTTATTTCCAGGAGACTTCTGGATACAGAGGATGAGCTTAGTGACATCCAGTCAGATGCTGTGCCTTCTGAGGTCCGCGACTGGCTGGCCTCTACCTTCACACGACAGATGGGGATGATGCTAAGGAGAAGTGATGAGAAGCCCAGGTTCAAGAGCATCGTCCATGCAGTGCAAGCTGGGATATTTGTGGAGAGGTAAAGGTGAAACTCATTGTTATTCAAGGGCCACATCATCCACAGGAACGCCAGGTCCTATGACTCTTAAGTTCTCTTTTAATGTAGTTTTGATATAGTATTATAAAAACTGAAATTTCTGAAAAGAAACAGGTATTTTAATCTCCGTGACATCATTAGGATCAGTTTTTCTCTTTGCTCAAAATCCTCATCTTAAGAAGATTTAGATTAAGTTCAACCTGGTTTTTAAAGTCAGAAATCATATGACCCATGTCTTTCAAATACATGGATAGCATCAGAACAGGCTAATATAGTAGTGCTTTGAGGTAGCTGACCCAGGGAGGACAGTTTATTTAAGGGCTCTGGGTTCCCTGTGACACAGTTTGCTAGGTTTTTGACACTAAATTGACAATAAATAGAATTGTTTCTTCTACTAGTCCCTCTTACATAGTTGCACATTTTAGAAATTTCATGGTAGTTATTTCAAAGTTTACGTGAGACATTTACCTGCTTTCTTTTAGAAGTCCTGGAGAAGAACCATGGCCGATGGGTCACCCACAGATCCTTTGTTCATAAAGTACAATACTGTACCCTGCTTCTCATCCTGCAGTCATGGCTGGCAGAGCCCATCTTCCCTTTTAATAATTTAGTGTCCAATATGGGGCACACAAACTTAATTTCATTTGGTTTCTAGTGACTTGTGTGTTTGAGGTTGCCTTCATTTCTTCTTAATTTATCATTAAGGGCACTAGAGTAACTTTGGAATTTAAAGTTCCTTAGGTCACCAGATGACCTGAGTGCTCATCAGTTGTCTATATGTGTGCAGATCTGTGAAGTGCTAATCCTCTGTTGTAAGCTATCACATTTTTTTCTTCTCCATCTTTGCCAGAATGTATAGGCGGACATCAAATATGGTTGGGCTGAGCTATCCACCAGCTGTTATTGATGCGTTAAAGGTAAGATTGTTGAAAATGCTTATGGGATAAATGGAAATGAATTCAGAGTACAGTTAAATTTCTTCTTAGAAAATAATATTTCATTTCTGTACTTTTCTGTTATTCCAACCTCAATCTGTTCTAATAGTATTACTTTGTTCTCAGTCTTTACCTTCCTAATTTATTTTCTTCCAAGTTAAACTCTTCGAAGTGTGGATTTTGGTTTTACACAATAATCCGCCATGATGTGATTCATGTAGCAGTAGCAACAGGAGATCAGACACATTACAGCAAAAGTACTTAAACTTAGGAAGAAACTTATTGGATGTAATTATATCAATACTCAATTGCCCACTCCAATTCCATTTCATAAGATTTTTAAAAATACCCAGAAAATTTTAAGAAAAATACAATCAGAGTTAATCAGAGATTAGAGTTGAGACCTGAACACAGTGTTCCCAGTACAGGTCAGGTTCCCAGTAACACTTCATGACACAATTGTTTAGTCCAGAGTCCTGGTCCCTTTGAGACATTTTGCTGTTTTTCCAAGGCTTGCACTGAGCCAGGTGTTGTATGGGAAGTCATCAAGTACAGGTTTGTTTTAAGGAGGGTGAACCCTGCAAGGTAACTCCCAGTCGAATGTACTGGAAATTATGTAGATGACTTCTGAAGGCCCCACACAGAAGTGTTCCATGAAGCAGGGACAGAGTCAGATTCAGGGGACTGGAGGGTTCCTAGTGTACTTTGGTTGTAGGGTGGGGTTGGCTAGGGCCCCGTGTCTTGTTCTGGTTGGTATTACATGCTGTCTGCACTTAGCACCTGTCCCTTTGTGCAGTGGCACCGTGGAATTCTGACTTCTAGCTACTACAGTCTCTCTCTGAAACATGCAACAAGTATAATCTGATAATGTCTTCAGACGATAAATGTCCCATTTGGGGAAATAGGAGTGGACAGTGCTTCTCAAATAGCTTAATGTAAAAAAACATGCCCCATGGGCCATTCTGATTATGTGTTCATGGTTTTCCCTTATGTTCAGATACCTACAGCAGCTGTGTTTACAGGAGTCACATTTCTTCTTTTACTGACTACATTTCTTTCCCCTCCTTGCATCTTAAGAGCAGGGAGGATACTGTGAGAAGCCACAGGCCCTCATGCTAGTGGCCAACCCATCATCGTAGTTTACAATGATGTTTCCCAGCCCACCAGCAGAACCACTTCATGAGACCTGTTTCCTAGCACCACAATGAAATTGCCATTGATTTTCATAATTGAACTGGAACGCTCAGTGCAAATCTTAGGAGCATTAGAAGCCTATTTAAACCTTTATTTCTGCATTTGTCATAAACACAAACCGTGACTGGGTTCACTGACACTGGGCTGTTTATGAAAGTAAATCTTCCAAATTGAAGTCTCTTTTCTATGAATAGCTGAAAACTAAAAGGTGGAACAAGCTGTTATGTGGACAAACTGTTATTTGCCACTTAAGGAAAGGAAACCTCAGAAGTCTCCACATGGTCTTTCTGAGAGAAAGACACTTGGATTAGTTGGAGCAAGAACCAGCTAGCTCCAAATGGCTGCCCTCTCCTTGTCTGCTGATATGTGCATTAAGGCCACAGCTTTTACCCTGGACCCAATTCCTGTCGATCGTGAAAGCTCAAGTCCTGTCTACACTGTAGTGTCTTTCCAGTTGTCTCTCAGCACTTGCCTTTGATTGCCCGAGGACTGCAGTGGGCTGGAGAGCACAGAGGTGGCATCCCATTTCCCTTTTTGTACCTGTTGAGGAAAAGGTTATTTGCACAGAGCTGTTGGCACTTCTGTGGAACTCACTACTGATTTCCTTTAGTACAGAAAAAATTTCTCGAAGACTGAGGGAATTCAGGTCACTCAAATAACCATTGTGGCAGGTCATGTTAACTGCCATTCATGTCAGAACATGGCATAAAATGATATCTAAGTAAGAGAATAATTAACTACAGCTCATTGCAAGTCTTTTTTTCCATTGGACTCTTTTTTATTTATTTTTATTTTATTTTTATTTTTTATTTTATTTTCTAGTTTAAATTTAGATAAGAAACAAGGTTGCTTCACAATTCAGTTCCAGGTCCCTCTCTTAACTGCTTGTGTGTCACTCCTGGTATTTTTTCCTCTTGTTACATACTACCTTTTAATTTCATTTTATCTCTAGACTTTGTGGTAGGGTTCTAGAGGTACAGAAATATCTGTTCTTTACGAGAACAGTTGTCCTGCGGCTCAGAAAGCAGCTCCTTGGATAATTTTAGGAAGGGAAGAAGTAAACAGTTTTCAGCTTCCTTAGTCTATGCTAACCTGGATGTTCTCCACCTTTCTTGACTGGAGTTGTTCCTGAGCAAAATTTGGCCAAAGAGAAAGTGTGTTTAAAGCACTTACATCGGCTGCTCATTAAAGTGCAGATTCTAGACTCAGGAACACTCAGAGGCCTACAGCATCCTCAGCATTTTCAGCGAGTCCCTATGTGGCTTGGAAGAAGAGTAAAGTTCAAGAATAGCAGTTAAGATTCCCTTGAGATGAAGGCCATAGAGGACACCCACTTCCCTACTCATCTCCTGGAGCTGTCAGTGTCCTTCTACTTAGGACCAGATCACACAGTGGCTGTGACTCATAGTAACCCAACTGTAGAACTCAAGCAAAGCTCCAGGTTGTGGGTAAATTTCGGTATGTATGTTCTGGATCCTTACTGGGTATTTAGGGGATGAAGCCTTTGTCACAGTGTGGATTCATTGGGTTTACAAGTGTCATCTGTAGGTAATGAGGTCACGTGAGAGGTTGCCAGTGAGATTATTAAGTAGTTTTGTTACTGTGTGACACTTGACCCTTTGTCTCTCCCAGACTGGCTTGTATAACACTGGGGAAAGTATAGCCTTTTATAGAGTTGGGAGATTTGAGGACTGTGTATTAACACTTCACAGAGCAGTTTTAGTTATTTTAATGGAAGGGTAATTATTGCTAAAGTAAGTGTGTTTACCACTAAATTTAAGTAGAAACAATCCAGTGGAGAGTCTTTGACTTTTTTTTAATCTTACATGATTGCTTTTATGTGGCTTGACTTCCATGGGAGAATCCTTAGTAGTCTTGAGCTGAGCATGGGGGCTGGAAGGGTTAGGTGTGACAAGAGCATGAACATTGCAGGAACATGTTAGGAAACACTGAGACTTTCATGCAGATAGTCTCTGATGCCAGAGGTACCAACCCCTGGCCAGAGAAAAATCTATCTCCATTCTGTAACTACAGAAGGAATACCATTGGTGTGACAAGGACATCAAATGCCTGCCGATTTAACTATGACTTAAATACACATTTGTTTATTATATCCACAAGTGACTGGTGTTGCTGTGTCAAAAGCACACAAGACAGTGTTTACAAGTATTCTGGAGCCAGTATTTGTGAACAAATAGTAACTTGATGATGGCATATAAGGTGTGTGTCCAGTTCAGTTTTTACGTTTACTTCTTTCACCAAAGTGTTAGAGTAACAGGAGAAATACGTCACCACATTTGTGGCTCCAGCGACCATTTTTCCAATTCTTGAAATGAATGTTTTTCTCTTTGGTTGCATCTTAACCATTGAAGTTGAAGTGGCATTCCATTTTTGTCTTCAATATCATGCATGCTTCTGCATACATTTAATGAGTTAGCAGCGTCAGCTCAGGGCTCAGAAGATGTTGTTACGTAGTATGTTAGTGGGTTGGAGAGCATTTAGAGATGTGCCTCAGCTGGTTTGAACTCAGAATAGGAGCTGATGGGCTTGAAGGATGAAGCCTGAGAGGAGGCATCAGTGTGGAAGGCATGTGTGTCCTCATCCAATTTGTGCTTCCAACAGGCCTTTGAAGAACTAGGTAACTATCCATTTCCCCATCAGTAAAGTGTAACTAGTCATACCACTTAACATTTGTTCTATAAATTACTTATTTTTTACCACTCATGAGGCCTGTGAATATTTCTGCTAGTTATTTCTGTTAAACAATAAGTGTTCTTGTATTACCACACTAGAAAGCTACTCAGAGTTTTTAGAGCCTTGAGCTATTTTGTCTCAGATGTGGAAGACTCAAACATGGATAGATAAGCAGTTGCATAGGTGTTGTGAACTAATAGTGCTCTCTCTGTTCTCTTTCCTGAAGGATGTGGACAAATGGTCCTTTGATGTCTTTTCCCTCAATGATGCCAGTGGAGATCATGCATTGAAGTTCATTTTCTATGAATTACTCACTCGCTATGACCTGATCAGCCGTTTTAAGGTCAGCACCTCATTAAAAAGATAAACTGCACACATTTGTCTATCCTTACAAGTGACTTCTATATCAAGACTGAGGGAATCCTTCTAAGTGGATAGGAAGATGCTGTGGGCAACTATGGATATCATTCTGATGGGGCTGTAGTTTCTTCCTTCTAGAGGTCTCTTTTCTTTACATGCTGACTGGTGGATCTTGCTAGAAGGCAGACTATAGAGGTGGCATGGAGACCTATCTTCCTACTATAGCTAAGTCTGCCATAGGTGCTGCCCACCAATGTTCATTTCATCTTGCATCATCATGATTATGTGTATTATTGACCACTCTTAGCTGAGAGGCAGCAATGGAGACAGAATGAGCTGGGCAGCTTCCATAAGATTTCCCACATTCCATGCTTCAACCAGACAAAACTCCCACTTGTCCATGGCAGATCACTGGTGTTTTCCAGCTGCCCATGCTTCAGATGAATTAATTTTTTTGCTTTAAATAAAGAGAATATGTCATCTCCAGGGTCAGCTCCTCACTGCACAGCCTCTTCAGGTTGGGACAGGTCCTCAAGGAAACTAGGCTTCATGCATCTGATAGATGTAATATGTCTCTGGAAAATGCAGGTTGTTTTACACACAAATGTTGGTGTCTCTGGACAGAGTAAGTGTTTATCACTTCCTTAAGGGCTGTAATGAAGCATGAACTTTCTACATGATCACAAATAACTTATGGCCATGTCCTTTGTCCTTCATTGTGCCCTCAAGAAAACGTGGGTGCTGGAGACAATTTTCTTTGAAAAAAAGCTTGTATGAATATGCTTATTTAGCTTCTCACTGGCTCATAGACTGACAGAACAGCCCCAAGTCCCAAACACCCTTGATCTTAACTTTGAAAACTGATAATAAGCTCATTTATGCCCTCTGTATGACATTTACTTACTTACCTGCTCACTTTGGTCTCATGAGAAGGGAACTTGCGAAGTAACCCTGGCTGGCCTTGGACTTGCAGTGATCCTCCATTCTCTTGCCTCCTGAATTCTACAACTAAGGAACACAGTTAAAATTTCAAACATCCACTACTAGTTAGAATGTTAAGAGGCTTGGTATGGTTATTATAGTTGACTTTTCTTTTTGAATCTGTTAGTCTCTAGGAATGGACACCCTTCTCTTTATCCACAGTCTTGGACTAGGGATTTTATCCCAACTGCGTCAGTAATCTCACTACTAGAATGATAAATATCTGGAGGGTCCTCTTAATTATATGTAACATTAACAGATCATCATTCTGCTGTGCAGGAGAGCAAGCTGTGTATATTACACACATTTGAGCAGAAAAAGCAATCAAGCCTGTTGAAAATACTATCCTAATGGACTGGTGGTTCTGAGAAAATATTCACATCTTTCTGACTTGAGAAAAATGAATATATACTAATGCAGCATACTTAATTCACTTGTGAGAAAACATAAAGGACACAAAAATCTTAAGTTAGAAAACAATGGTGATGTAACAGATGTAAGCTTCCACTGGTGTGACTTCCTCAAAGCCACATTCTTTGCAAGGGGCCATTGTATGCATTAGAAATATAGGGGAGCTCTAGTGTGTGAATGTGTGCATGGGTAAAGAAGAGGCTGTGTCTTTTTATCACCCAATGATCTATTATTGGTGACTTGCAGTTTGGAGAGTCTCCTTTTGCTGGTGAAGTTTTACAAATGGTTAAAAATATCATAAACTGAGGTGATTCCCAGTGTTGCTTGTAACTTCCTCAACACACTTTGTGACATCAGTCCTGCATAGCATCTCTTGGTATTTGTGGAAAAAACTAAAAACAGATAAAATTCAAAGAAATACAGAAGTTTAGTAGTCACCAATAATGAGTGGGGTTGCCTATGTGTACACAAAAAGTACTGGTTTATAATTTACAAAATGTCTTTGAGAAGAATCTGTAGTTTGGTTGCCTTAATTGAGGAACAAAAACCAGTTTGTGAGACTGTTCCTCAACCAGGGATTTGGTGTTGGACTTTCACGGTATCTGACAGTTTCACCAGGGAATTCTATCAACTGTTAACATTGTTGCTTCCACATGTGATCCTCAACAGCCCCCAAAATGAGCAAGGTGGGAACCTTAGTGTTTCTCTTAAGGTAAGTATTTCCTTTTGTGGGTGAACTTTGCTGTATTCTCTTTCAGATTCCCATTTCTGCACTTGTCTCATTTGTGGAGGCCCTGGAAGTGGGGTACAGCAAGCACAAAAATCCTTACCATAACCTGATGCATGCCGCTGACGTCACACAGACTGTGCATTACCTCCTCTACAAGACAGGAGTAGCAGTGAGTACAGACAGGGACTCTCATTAGCGTTGGAGGGTGTTCCAGAGTGAGGAGGACGAGCCCAGGGGACATGAATGCCTTCTGAACTCACTATTTTCCAGCATCTCATGATCACTATGGAGAGCTTTGGGGGTATTCTAATGTGCTCTCATAATGGCTATGGAGAGCCTTGGGGTTCTCTGGAGTGCTCCCCTGATTTTTATGGAGGGTGATCTAAAGTGCTCCCTGTGATTGCTATAGAGAGCCTTGGGGTTCCCTAAGATGATGATCTTCCTCCTCCTCCTCCTCCTCCTCCTCCTCCTCCTCTTCCTCCTCCTCCTTCTCCTCCTCCTCCTCCTCCTCCTCCTCCTCCTCCTCCTCCTTCTTCTTCTTCTTCTTCATCTCTTATTTGGCCCAATGAAATAGATAATGACCAATTAAAGAATAATTATAGCAACTAAATATATATTTACACATATAGAATGATTACTTTGAATTTTGGCAACAGTCAATTAACAGTGGTATTCACTTATTCTGAAATTATATTCAGTAGATTCATCAACCATTGCTCCAACTCATATTTGGCTCAACCTGCTGGGTCTTTTTCAGAAGCATTCTGCTTATTCACACCTTAGTATTGTTTAAACTTAAGGGTTTCTATTTATTTGAAATATCCTTATAGTTCTGCTTTTCAGCTCTTTAGATGTCTTTTCTATAATCCATTTGACTAATTAGCTTATTCAAGTTGATTGTGCTTTTGACTTCTGAAATTTTCATTGTTTAGTTATTTACTTATTGTTTATGGGCATGGGGTATGTCTATGTGCTACAATACACATGCTGATGTCAGAGGACAATTTGTAAGCAGACAGTTTTCTTCTTCTGCCTTGTGGAGGTGAGGGACTGAATTTAGATTTCTGATTCATCACAAAGCACCTTGGTCTGCTGAATCATCCCACTAGCCTCTTTGCCTTCATTACCTCCATATAAGCCATCAGTTTTAGTATGCACAGATGTTGGTGGCAAAACAAAACAAAAACAAATGAACAAATAAAATGGCTCTCATTGAGATTAACACCTATAGAAAAATTTCATTTCTATTTTAATTTCTTGAGTGCTGAAATTGTCCCCATGCCCTATGCTTTGTTTCTTCAGTTTGCTCTGGGTACCTCTTTCTTCTGTAAAGTCCCCTCCTATGGCTTAGGGACAGTTTGTGCCTTCTCAGTGAGGGTCATCTTAGTGTGGCCTGGGTTAATCTGACCATGAATGCTATATGTTTGGCTCACATCTTGTTGACCTGGATACATTCAGTAGCTAGGGAATCTGCATCTAAACCTGTAAGCTCAGATGTGCTCTCTGCACTTTTAAGCACATGCAACAAAAACCTGCACACATCTTTTGGGTCAGTGACCTTAAGTCCATCCCCACTGTTTGGACTTGAATATGGCTTCTCACTGCACCAGTACATGATGTGTGAACTATGGACCAACACTGAGTATATTCTACAAATATCAGGGGATGCAATACGCTATTTTAAAAGTTGAAAATAATGAGTAAGTTTGGAAATACTAGAATCAGTTCTTAGGAAAACTAAGCTAACCAATCATGGGACTGGCGTGCTCAGCTCCTTTGGGATGACCTCTTTCAGATGCTGGTAGAATTTTGAGTATGCACACAACAGATGGCCTGGGAAGGTTCCTGAGCATTTTTAAAGTGAAAACAAAGATTTGAATCTTGTGATTTGCATGGGTTTCTGGGTTACAAGAGTGGTAATCAGTTTTCACAGGTCTCTCCAGGCCACTTACAGGAAAAGAAAGATAGAAATTGCTTGGGTATGGCAAATCAGCCCCAACCCAACACCCACTTGTCTTCTCTGTTGATTGGCTCAGTCTAATAGCTCACTGAATTAAAGTTAGAATACAGTGATAGGAGTGGTCCTTCAAGCTAGATATACTACATATAAATCCATGCTTAGTTACTGAATAGCTATTGTAAGCTGTGAAGAAAGACTTGAGTGCTCAGATTTCCTCATCTGAAATGTGAAAAAGATTTTATATTGAAGATGACCAGGAATAAAATATCAAAAATATTGGCTATTCTCTTTCCTTCAACTTAGAAAGTATTATTACTAGAATGTTGTAGAATTTCCCCCAAAAAACCCATTCTCATGTTCTAGTTTTTATTAAAGGTCTCATTTTGGAGATATAACCATTTAAGAAGTCATTTCAAAATTATAGAAATATTATAAAGGGGACTCATTTTATAGATAAGGAGTTTCTACCAAAAAACTCATACCGGAAGCCATATTGCATGATAATTCCTTGAAAACATGGAATCAAACAGAATTGTCCACACCAAAACAAACCCATGAAGAACTAGACTGATGCAGAGGTGTCTACATGAAGAGAGACATATGAAGACATGGGTTGGTGAAGAAGTGTCCACACTAAGGCCAATGAAGATGTGGGCTGATGCAGCAGTGTCTACATGAAGACAGACTCATAAAGACATGGACTGACACACCAAGATAACTACTAAACATTCTTCTACAGATCCCACAGAATGCAATATGTGATTTTAAAGATAAAATGCTGAGAAAGTCTGTAAGAGTTGTTTGTGTACTGGAAATTAATAAGTATAATGTAAAAAGTATGTTCTCAACAGTCTGAAAAGTGTATCATTATCTATAAAGAACTTTAAAACTGAAAAAGGGAAACTATAAAACTCAAAGGACTCAAAACTAATGTTTAAGTCAGTGGAGTGATGTGTTGTGCTTTAAATGGGAAACCATTATGTTTTATGGATGGCCGTTCACTTCAAAACAGTAAGTACTAATTCTGTTCCCCCAAGGGTTAATGTATAACTCGATAAGCCTGAAATCCATACAGGATGTGTAATTTTTCTGTGTTAGAAATGGTAGTTTTGAAAAAGGAACAGTATGTAACAAGGTAGTTATTTTCTTACTAATGCTAAAATATTACAAAGCTGTAGAAACAGAATATGTGATTTTAATGATAAAAATGACAAACACATCGATGGAGTTCAAGTTTCAAACCATACATTCAAAGGTTTATTAAGCACTTCTTATGAGCCAGTACTTTGTTAAACTACTCCCTGGTAATGGTATTAGGTGGTGAGGACTTTGAGAAGTAATGTGATAATAAAGGCAGGGCTCACACAAATAAGATTGGTGTCCTTAAAGGAGACCCAGGACTCCATTTCTCTTCCTTCCCTGCCCTTTGCCCTTCCCCTAACTGTACAGCTTTTTCTGTCACATGATGTGTCACCACCTCTACAACAGTCAATCAGTCATGGACTGGAACCTTCAAAATTCCCAAGTCCAAATCAGTGTTTCTCTTTATAAGATGATTTATCTCAGGTACTTGTCATGGCCACTGCCTTAGTTAGGGCTTCTACTGCTGTGAAGAGAAATTGTGACCATGGCAACTCTTATAATGGAAAACATTACATTGGGGTGGTGGCTTACAGTTTTTAAGAGTCCATTGTCATCATGCTGAGCAGTGTGGTGGTGTGCAGGCAGACTTGGCACTAAAGCTGAGCTTCCGACATCTTATAAGCAACAGGAAGTAGACTGGAAACAATGGGTGGTATTCTGAGCACAAGAAACCTCAAATCCCACCCCCTACAGTGATACACTTCCTTCAACAAGGCCATACCCATTCCATTAAAGTCACTCCTCCTAATAGTGCCACTCCCTATGAGTTTATGGGGCCAATTACATTCAGATTACCACCATAATGGAAAGCTAACACAAGGAGTTACTGAAAATTGTCTTTGTAAATGTCTATGCAAATATACTTTCGCATGTGCAATAGAGTACAATTTCCTGTAAGCCAGTGGTTCTCAGCCTGGGTAAACTGCTCCTACCCCTACAAAATGAGTTCTTATGGTATTTTATTATGATGACCTTAGCAAACTAACACAGACTCATCACCAAGCTGGCCCCAGGCCTGACTTCTTTTATAAGATTTGGATTTTTTTAAAAAAATGTATGTGTAGGAATGTTTGACTGTGTGTTTGTATACACACCACATGCATGCCTAGTGCCCATGAACTAGGCTTTAAGATTCCTGGAAACCAGTGTAACAAAGAACTGTGAACTGCCATGTGGATTCTGGGGACTGAACCTGGGTCCTCTACAAAAGTAGCAAGTACTCTTAAACAATGAGCCAATCTCTCTAGTCTCTTAAGTCTGACTCCAGTGGCCATACGTTTAGGTATTTGTCCATAATTCTGCAGTATCTTTGGTGAAGAACTCCTTTTACCTCAGAATCCTCAGGGGCATATACTTGACGGTAATGTAGAACAGATTAAAGCAGAGACAGAATAGTGCTCTGAGCTCATCAGTCAACATATTTTTAGTATATATTGTGTACAGTATCCTGTGCAATATACACATGAATCAACCAGCTTCATCAGCTCTAAAGGAAAACTCTGAGGCATTTATGCTAATGCAAGTCATCACTAACATCAATGGTACAGCAGCCAATGACACACTGTGCTCAGTTATTTGCGGTGTATGCATGTATGTACAAGTGTGTGTGCATGCAGGTGCATGTGTGTATACAAGCATGTGGAGGACAAAAACCAACCTCAGGTATCATCATTGGGTCCCTTCCACCTTTTCTTTGAGAGGGACTCTCTTACCAACCTGGAGTTGCCAGTTAGGCTAAACTGGCTGGCCAGTGACCCCAGAGGCTTGCGGCTTGCATGGTTCCATCTCTGTAGCCAAGGGATTAAAGCCATTTCATATGGGTGCTGGGAATGGAACCTAGGTCTTTGTGTCTGTCTGACAAACACTGTGTCTACTCATCTATCTTCCCATAACCCACTCCTTCTGTGTGTGTGTGTGTGTATGTATGTGTGTGTGTGTATATATGAATGTGTGCATGAGATGTTCTTCAACCATCTTTTTTTTTGTGTGTGGTGATTTCTGAAGGCAGCAATTGAATGATGATGTCCAAGTAGAAACTGCTGTTCACACGGCAAAGTCATAGCTTAGAGTAATGTATCCTGTAGCAATGGAAAATGACTCTTGTCCATTTCCTTCAGATTTCCTCTGTTGTGTACAGTTGTGCTCACCCCCCCCACACACACAACTAAGCACACAGCTTTCTCTTCAGAGCCACGGGTGTCGCAGTCCAAAATACACCACCTTCAAGTGTCAAAGCAGTTCTGTGTGTGAGTTAGCTATGGCACACCAATTTGGAAGACAGGAAAACATAACAGTCAGATAATCCCAGACCAAAATGCCTGTGGAACTTAAATTTCTGATTGCTCATATGTGACGTTAAGATCTCAGCTTTCACAGTAATTAAGTTGGAACACACAGGGAAATTTGAGCCACATTAAAGTATGAATCCAACTTTCCTCAAAATGGCTTCTTTTGCCTTTTCCATCTTTACTTTTACCAAGGATGCCATCTGATACCACCCAGGAAGGGTTTGGTTACTGGCTCAATTTTTGGAGGCCACAGGTAATCTGTTGTTCTCTTGGCTCAAACTTCTTTACCCCCATGTTATTTACACATGTAAGAACTTTTCGTCCCTATCTCTATTCAGACAAATGTTCTTCCTGGAGTGCTGGGCTGGCTGGGAAAAATATGTATTATATTTATGGACAGTCCAAGAAGAGGTGCCATGTAATGTTATACATACATAAGTTTACACAAAATTAAAATTAAACACAGAATATAAACAAAGGAAATTTAACCAACCTATGATAGGTGAGTATTCTGGAGACACATTATATGGCTTGTCATATGAACAACTGTGTTTATAGTGTGAGGATAACCGCATAGCTAGTTCCTTTATGGGCTTGTAAAAGGCATGTGAGTTTCTACTTTAAAAAGAGGACACGGGGGCCTAACCTCAGTGGTTAAGAGCACAAGCTGCTCTTCCAGAGGGCCTAGGTTCAATTCCCAATATCCATATGATGGCTCACAACCTCAGTAACTCCAGTGCAGGGGTTCTGATGGCCTCTTCTGTGGGCAGTACATGCATGTAGTGCACTGACATGCATGCAGACAAGACACCTGTGTACATATAGTAAAAATAAGTCTTTTTCTAAAAAGAAGCAAACAGCAATGACAAAAGCAAGGACAAAATAGTGAGAGAGAGACACGGTGGAGGGAATGGGGGTCATTAGTGGTGGATGGATTTAATCAGAATATATTATATAAAATCATGAAATTTTCAAAGAATGAAATGGTACTTTGAAAAAGCACCCAAGATAGGTTCTGCTGCACATTGATCCTTCCTGTGTGAGGAGGTAAGAGGGCTCTTGACGTCTGTGGAAAGGTAGCTTCAGCTTCCCTGCCATCTTTTCTCAAGTATAGCTTATTACATTTACTTACTCCCTCAGAGCAAGGCACATGCCACAGTGTGTGTGTGTGTGTGTGTGTGTGTGTGTGTGTGTGTGTGTGTGTGTGTGTGTGTGTGTAGGTCAGAGGATAACTTCCCCCTGTGAGTCTTAGAGCCTGAACTCCTGTTGACAAGTTTGGTAGCAGGCACTTTCCCCTAACAGACCATTTCACCAGCCTATCTGCATCTTGATTTTACCTCATTCCAATAATTTTTCTCTTAGTCTGGTTTCGTTGTCTTTCCATTCCTTGAGCCTCAGTTTGTAACTTTTGAGCACATTATTGCCACATTATTGAGTATTGGGAAAGGTTTTCTTTTTTGGGTTTCATGCTATAAATTTCTAGAAATAATATTTAGAGTAGCAATTACCACTCTTTATTCTCTATGTGAAATCTTTTTTTTCATGGATTGCAATAACTGTCAAGAATTTCCCTAGTTAATAACCAAAATCAACAATTATTTCAAAGAAATACTGAAAGTGGAGAGCTTCAAAACGTGTATGATTATTATGAGTCACTTTGCATGAACTTAAGTCAGACAAATATGTCTCAGGTTCTCATTGTAAACTCAGACCATGGGCTCTTTGCTGAATTCACTGGTTTGGGCACTCATTTTTTTCTCCCTCAAGCCTTGTCACCTCATAAAAATCTGGCTTCCTTTTGTTTAAATACAGTGAAGTGGGAACTTACAAATATTCACCAAATGCAGTAGTTACTCTTCTGTTTCTTTGACCAAGCACCATGACCAGTGGCAACTTAAGGAAGAGAGAGTTTATTTTGGCTGGTCATTCCCAGGGGAAGAGTCCCTGATAGCAGGGCAGTGACATGGCAAGACGTCTCCGCGCAACTGGAAATTGCACAAGATTTTAAGCTCTCAAAGCCCGCCTCCAGTGATGCACTTCCTCTAGCAAGGCCACTCCTCCCACACCTCTCCAACCTTGCCACCAACTGGAGACCAAAAGTGCAAATATGTAAACCTCTGGGGACCATTGTCATCCAAACCAACACAGGAAACAAACTGAGTAGAGATGATAAATTTTTACAGCTCTCTGTGGATTCTCAGTTGTCACGTATATTGTATATGCTGCTGAGATGTAAGCAGGGGATACACAAGGGTGGGCAGTACCAGTAAGCCACAGAGTCTGTTCAGTAGGACTTGGTTAAAAGAACATGTTGCTGGAGTTTCCTTTTCAGCCTGGTCCCACTGCCACTTTGACACCAATAAACACACAGATGCTATATTAATTATAAAACTGTTGCCCGATGGCTAGGGCTTCTTATCGGCTAACTCTGTCTTAATTGTTAACCCACTTCTATAAATCTTTATATTTCCGCAAGGTCTTGGCTTTCCAGAGAATTCCCGGACCTGTTACTGCTTTACTGACCTACAAGGTGTCTTCTGTGCACCCCATCCGCCTACCTTTCCCAGAATTCTACTCGTTTCCTAGTCCCACCTATCTTCCTGCCTCTCCTGACTATTGGCCAGTGTTTTATTCATCAACCAATAAGGAAAGCATATATACAGAAGGACATTCCCCATATAGAACATCCAACAGTGCAGTGGTTCTTAAAACCTGAAGTGCATCAGAATTATCCTGAAACTTGATAGAGTACATATTGCTGAGCCACAACTTACAGTTTCTGATTCAGTGGGATTAGGTAGAGCCAGAAAATTTGCTTATACTCGTATTGTATCCCAGGTGTTGCTAATTCTGCCGGCCTCTAGACAGATTTGACAAACTATGGATCCAAGAGTATGAATGGAATCAGTCCCTCCAAACATCAGTTTGCACAAGGAAGAAAACTGTCTCATTTATGTCTGTGTGTCTCCCCACCTTGTAGTAGACATTTCTCCCATAATCAGACCTGAGGATTTTTGCTATTAGTGCTTGCTATTGTGTTAAAAACTTTTAATGACATCTGTATAAATGAGAGAGGGTATTGTGTTGATGGACAGGAAAGGGAAAGGTAAGGGAGATAAGAATTTAATTTTATTTTAAAGCTGGAGAAATATTTGATGAGGACGTTTTAAAGGTCTTCATGGTCACTGTCATCACTGTCTGTCTGGAAAGTCAGATCAGAGTAATAATTCTTCTGACTTTGTCTGTTGTGGTCAGACTACAAGTTCACAATCTCCTCAGTGAAGAAAAGCCCCCATTACTTCTGTGTGTAAGAAAACTTGTTTGGCAATAGCAGACAGCTGCAGAGTGGAAGGCAGCAGGGTGGGTGTGTTGTGAGCATGCTGAAACCGTCTGAGCAAGAGATAGATTATATGATTGTTGTGAATCTCCCTTTCAGAACTGGCTGACAGAGCTGGAGATCTTCGCAATAATCTTCTCAGCTGCCATCCACGACTATGAACATACCGGAACTACCAACAATTTCCACATTCAGACCCGGTGAGAGGGATGAAATGTTTGTACAGCAGGCATGAGGAGGCAGGGATATAATTTTAGATGTCAGTGAGTTCTGCGCTTATCACTTCTCTTTTATGTGGTTGCTCTATTTTGAAAAGATTAAGTTATAAACAAGATAGGAGCCTGGGCAGCTTCATTCAATACACAGCACTTTAAAAACCACCTGATGCTATTTCTCATATTTTATTCAGATCTAAAGTAGGGCCTCTTTTCTTCACTATTGTAATGTTCACTCATTATTTATGTATGTTCTGTGCCTCCTCTACCGGTTTCTAATAGGTGTGGCACAGGTTGCATAGAGCCCCAGGTGTCATGTAGATGACATCACTATGTTCAGATAATCGTTGGAGGGCTTCTGTAATGCTAACAATAATGGTGCCTTCTCACTGTGATCTCTGAGTTTCCGGCGAGACAGTCTTCTCTTTCTCTGTGCTCCTCCCTTTCCTCCCCATGGAACACAGAAGAAGATGGTACTTTCTGTGCTGTGTTCAGAGGGGGATGGAAGCAAAGTTAGGAGCTTGAGCTATTTTCTGTAGTTAACATACTTCTTCCCAGGTAGAGGGGTATGGGTTCCTGGAGGCCCATCTTTGTCATTGTTCCAAGGTCTTTACATATAGGCAGAACCCCCAGAAGACTGGGTGGATGTTTTGCTTGGAGGACAAAGACTGCAGTGACCCACAGCTGCCTATGGAAGAGGGGTGGGCCAGGCAACTGCATGGAGCTTGCTTGGAGACCAAGAACAAATCCAGTCAACCCATTGGAAAACCTATAAGTCATAGAAGGTAAACAGGAGCTTAAGGTCACAAAATACACACACGTACCAATATCCAACTTGGGAGTTAAATTCAAACATTGACACATAGGCCCTCAGCAAAGCTTTGTCCAGTTCACCTGAGCATAAGTTATCCCTGTTCAGAAAACTGTGTGGCTGGACCCTTTCTTCCTGGAAGATAAAAGTGTTAAGCCTAAGACTTTTAAGGTGCACTAGACTGAGCCCCAGTTCAGTCAACAGTAAGTATATGTTATCTTCAGACACATCAGTTCTGTTGTCCGAAGACCTCACTTTCATTGCAGTCCTGTGATTTAGTTGTTTGGGGACTCTGAGATGGAACTTTCTATCTATAGGATGGTATCCTATATGGGAAGCAAATGAGCTGTAATAATCTAAGCTTAAATTGAACTGGGGATATTAAAATGACATATATTCTGGTGTTAGGTAACATTCAACTACAGAATAGTCTTTGAGGATATATAAAAATTATATTCTCTGTTGTCAACTATCCACATGTGACATTTCTATGGAGAAACTTTAAGATAAGTTACAGAGGCAGCTTGCAGATACTAACCACTGGGTGATATGTACTTAGAAAATTACAACTAAATAAAATTAACTAGGATATTGATTGAATCAAATAAAAAATTTTAAATTAAAGTTATTCTAGAGATCCTAAGAAAGTCTAATACACTGACACTTTTAAAAGTCACTTTTGCCACTGCTGCATGTAATTTATGTGCAGGTTTTAGCGTGCTCAGGGTGCATGTTACATATGACACACTCACAAGTTTATAGAAAAGTTCCTTTCTTTTATCTAGTGATAATGAGCCATTGGTAACTCAGATGACTTGGGGACAAGATCATTTCTAAAAACAGGAAAGAGTGACAGCACACCAAAACTTGTCAGAGTAAGTCAAAGGGATCTCAGCCATGTCCCAACCTGAAGGAGTTTGTATGTCTCTGTCCAGGTCCGATCCAGCTATCTTGTACAATGACAGATCTGTACTGGAGAATCACCACTTGAGTGCAGCCTACCGCCTTCTGCAAGAAGATGAGGAGATGAATATTCTGGTCAACCTCTCAAAGGATGATTGGAGGTAATAGATGACAGCTTTGGAAGCTACAGAGGGGAAGTGTGGACAGATAGGGTATGCTACTACTAAGGAAATAGTCCCTGCATAAACTCCATACTGCTCTCTCAGAAAAAGTGCCCCAAAGCTAGCTAACTTGACTTTTCAAGTTAATAATGATACATCAAGATTGGATGCATCATTCCTGTCTTTATTTTGCTTGGTATTGTCTTATTTTGTTTGTTTACAATTTTGTCACAAGAAGGTAACTGATATTCTTTTTCCTTTCTGGTGGAATCTTAAGCATCCTTGGTTCTTTGTGTCTCTAGCTGGGTCAGAACTGCTGATACAGTCAGGGTCTGAACCTCTGGGGCCTGGAGTAAGGCAGACCTATCAGTTGACACTGGGCCATAGCCACAAACAAACACCGGCATCCTTGTTTGTCTTTATCCCTGAATTGTTGGTGACTGTTTGCAAAGTAGCACAAATAATAGGATTGGCTTAAAGCATTTGAATCTAGCCTCTGATTAATACGTTATAAAATTGAGTGACTCAAACCATATCAGCGAATTAATGTAAATGCAGTCAAATTAGTCTCTTGAAATTAGTTTCGTGAAGTCTGTTTGTGCACTCACCATCTGTCATAGTTAGGGTTTCTGTTGCAATGAAGAGACACCATGACCATGGCAACTCTTATAAAGGAAAACATTTAGTTGAGGTGGCAGTTTATATTTTCATAGGTTTAGTCCATTATCATCATGGCAGGAAGCATGGCAGCATCCAGGCAGACACGGTGCTGGAGAGGGAGCTGAGAGTTCTAAACCTTGCACGGGCAACTAGAAGTGGTGTGAGACACTGGGCGTGCCTTGAGCATCTATGAGGCCTGAAAGCCCATCCCCCACAGTGGTACACTTCCTCCAACAAGGCCATACCTACTCCACCAAAGTCACTCCATTGAAGGTCATTTTCTTTCAAACCGCATATCACAATCCCTGGCCCCAAAAGGTTGTAGCCATATCATAATGCAGAAATGTTTTCAGTCCAACTTCAAAAGTCCCCCATGGTCTATAACCATTTCAATATTTATTTGAATGTCTAAAGTTCCAAGTCTCTTTTGAGATCCATACAATCTCTTAATTGTAATCCCCTGTAAAATCCAAATAACAAAACAGACTACATACTTCTAAGATATAATGGCACAGGATATACATTACAATTCCAAAATGTATGGAAGGGAGCATAGAGAGGAAATATTGGACCAAAGCAAGAATGAAAACCAGCTGGGCAAGCTCTAAACTCTGCATCTCCATATCTGATGTCAACATGCTCTTCAAATCTCCAACTCCTCAGCTTTGTTGACTGCAACACACTTCTCTCTCTTGGGCTGACTCCACTCCCGATTAGCAGCCTTCCTTGGCAGGTATGCCAAGGTCTCCAAAGCAATCCAAGCTTCAACATCACAGCTTCACACAATGGCCTCTCTAGGACTCTATTCAAGGACATCCCTGGCACATGCCTGGCCTCAGCATCTTTTCTTAATCATGGAGGCAAATTCTATAACCCCTCTAAAGCCAGAACCACATGGCCGAAGCTACCAAATTCTATTGCTTGCTAAGGCCAGAACATAGCTCTCTTGTTCAATTACGTAATTTTCTGCTGTTTTCCATGTTTCCTTTCACTGCCTAAATCTGGCTGTCCTGGAACTTGTTCTGTAGATCAGGCTAACTTCAAACTCAAAGATCCTCCAGCCTCTGCCTCTGAAATGCTGGGATTAAAGGCATGTACCAGACTCCAAACTTTTATTTAGTTCCTTTTAACAAGTTGGAAACTTAGTTGGGTGGGATCTCGCCCTGAGGTTACCACTCCCTTCATTGCATTTCTTCATCATATCTCCTTGAACTCAGAACTTAGCTCCATTCTGTTTCCTGGTGCTCTTTTTCGCAAATTATACATTTTGTAATTTACCTTGCTCAGCTTGCTCCTTTTTATTATAAATATTTCACTATTACCACTAAAAATCATACAATACAGTCTATCCTAGGCTGTTTTGAGATTTCCTCTGCCAATGGAATTAATCCAAAACTCTTCTCTTTAGCTCAGGCAGACTCTTCAGACAAGGTCAAAATGTAGACAATGCATCAAAATATCACAAGAATAATCTGTAGGCAACATACCAAAATTCTTCTCCTCTTGTGCCATATCCCCCTCCTCTCAAATCATTCTCAGCACCGCTTTACTCCATGCTCCTGCTAGTATGGCCCAATAAGCTTAAAGCATCCCACTGCTTCCCAAACCCAAAGTCCTTATTACTTCAAACTAAAACATGGTCAGGCCTATCAAAGAAATGTCCCAGTTCCTGATATCAACATCTGTCTGAGTTAGCGTTCATATTGCTCTAAAGAGATAACTATGACCACAGCAACTTTTGTAAAGGAAAACATTTAATGGGGTGGCTCACATTTCAAAGATTTAGTTCATTTTCAGCATGGTGGGTCATGGCTACATGCAGGTAGACAAGGTAATGGAACTAAGACTCATTAACGCAGACTGTCATTCTTAACATTAGAAAGCCTTATCCAAGGAGCTGAGGGTTAGACTACATACTATAAAAGGTTTACCCTCCCCCAAGTAAGATCAAAGTCTCTCCACTGGGTTTGAATTGAAACCTTCTTCCTGTATCTTGAGACTGATGTCTTTTGGCTGAAGTATATCATTGGCCCTAAAGGTCTTCAGCTTGCTAGCTGCCCCTGCTGACCTTGGTCAACCTTCATGAATCTGTAAGTCAGGGCCGAGGATTTAGGTCAGTCGGTAGAGTGCTTACCTATTATGCATGAAGCCCTGGGTTTGACCCCTAGTACTATATAGAATTGGACTTGTAGGACATGTCTGTAATCCCAGCTCTGGGAAAGTAGAAACAGGAGGATGAGAATGTCAAGGTCATCTATCCCTGCACCGAGAAATCACAACCAGTAACCAGTCTTGGGTACAAAAAACCCAAACATGAATTTTATAGTGAATATATACATATATATATAAACATACAAACTTGAATATATATGTGTGTGTGTATGTGTGTGTGTGATTGTAGAACCCTTAAAACTATAGAGAATTTATCTCAAGTTTATATGATTAATTTGACATAAAAATAATTTAAAATAGTTCACCATATTAAAAGCAAATAAGCAAGCAAAGAGAGCCAGTTGTTGTTGATACATGCCTGTAATCCCAGCACACTGGAGACTGGGGTAGGAGGATCCTGAGTTAGTGTCTATACTGAGATATTTCAGGACGGCCAGAGAGCAATATAGTGAGTCATCCACTCAAGCAATACTAAAACACAAAATGAGGAATGTGGTCATTCCAATAGCTATATCCAAAACATTTGACAAAAGTCATTAGTTATCAAATGAAAACTCTTCCACTGAGAACCAAAAACGAGTCTATAGCGTCTCTAGCTGGGAAAGGCAGCAGTGTAAGGCCATAGCTAATATCAACCTTTATGGGGGAAATTCTGAACACTTCGTTAAAGATTGGAAACAAGACTAGAAGGTCTCATAATCAACAATATGAAGTGTTTCTGTAAGCAAATGAGATCTGATTGCCCATAAAGCCTTAAGACTATTATGGCAACTACTAACACTGGTAATGAATTTTATGAGACCACTAAATATGATGTTAATGTAAAAAACAATAAACTAGGAGCCAGTCACTAGAAAATTGCATCGAAAATTCTTGCACAAGGCAGAAGATAAAGGATCAAATTTATTGAAATCAGTGCAGAAACTTCTCAGAAAACTAAGAATAGAACCACATGATTCATCTCTCCCACTCCTGGATTTGGTCTTAAAGAAATGACGTGAAAATAGCACAGAGACACCTGCACATTCATCCTTATCCTTGTTTGTGACTGTCTTCACAAGAGTCAAGCTGTGACTCATCCTGGGCACCCATCTTGGATGAATGAATAAAGAAAATATGGTTCATATGCACATGACCTTTTTTAATGACATTTATTAGTTTGTGAGAGGGACAGTGGGTGGATACATGCCACAATGCACCATGTTCTCTCCTTCCACAATGCGGGATCAAACTCAGGTGGTTAAACCTGGTGGCAAGTGCAAGGGGTTCTCAACATGTAGGTCGCAACCCCCTAGGGGGTGGAATGACCCTCTCACAGGGGTCAATATAAAGGTCAGCGGTCAATAATGGGTATCTTCCTCTACTGCTCCACAGCCTATTTTCTGAGTCTGTATCTCTTCCTTGAACCTGGAGGTCACTTATTGGTAGTACTAGCTCGACAGTACGCTTTGCCAATCCTCTTGTCCTGGTCCCCTTTCCCTCGGTGCTAGGTTACAAACATGCCCCGTCACACCCAACACTCAGTCCTCATGCTTTCCCTGCGAGCACTGTACCCACTGAGACAGCTCCTCAGCCCCCTCCCCACTTGATTTTTGGTAAAGGTCTTAAGTGGAATCATGGGAGAAAGGAAACTGGTTTCAGGAAATTGTGTTAAAATAAGTGGGTACCTGTGGCAAGCAATAACTTTGACTCTTACCTCAAACCATACTCAAAAATGAACTCAAATTTTGTCATGAAGGTAATGCATAAAACCTAGGCAGGATGAAATAACTCAACTGGGGAAGCAGCAGACTGAAGAATAAGACATGAGACGTGAAACAGCCTCGTGGTTCAGAGTGCAGCTCAGTGGTAGGCACCCTGGATTTGCTCCCCACACTGTGCTAACAATGATAGTGGCCAGAGCTTTACAGGGAGGCACAGCGATGTCTTCAGGACATGTGGCGTTCTTAGAACACAAAAGGGGAGAAGCATTTTTTGAACCTAATGAAAATTAAACTTTTTGTAAAGTACTGGATTGCTGTAAGCCAAGAAACTGGGGGAAATGTGGCTACTGTACATATCCTGTCAGGGTTTGTATCCAGAAGCACAGTGTGCCTTGACCACTCAGTAATGAGAGTTTCTAAAGGAGCACCCCTCTTTTAAAAAGTAAATAATTGAAACACGGTTCTGATGCTGCAACGATAAACGGCACACTTACTGAAAGTAAAAATAAGTATTTATTGTAGAAATTACTCACAAGAGACCAAACAAGTAACCCAGATGAGCTGAGTAGTTTTCCACCACCAAACTGGAAGCCGAAAGCCGGAAAAAGAGACCAAGACTTCCATTGTTCAGTCTTTTATACCTTCCCCCATAATACCCCTAGATATGCCCAAAAGTAGGCCTGGCTAGTGACATAGTTCACCGCCTATGTCCATTTACGTCTTTAGTCATTCCTAAAGTGGGTGTGCTTAGCGGTGTGGTAAACCGCTCTTTTATTACCTCATCTGTATGCGCCTCTAATAAGTCACATGGCTAATGGCGGCATGTTTTTACTCCTACACAGTTCCCTAAAAAGTGATGCTCAAATGGCAAAATGAGAGGAATTCAGTGATAGTATTCGGTCAAGGAAATGCAAATGAAAACCACAGTGAGACGCCCCAACATACCCACTAGATGGCTAGAATTAAAAGCTGGCAGAAGGCAAGAAAAAAACACCATAGCTTCAACACGCTTGTCAAAAATGTGAACTTAAACAGACATTTTGCTAAGGGTTTGGCCATTTTTTTCATACAGTTAAATGCTCAGGTGCCTGGCAAAGCAGTCATTCTATTTCTGGATGCTTGTTCTAAAGCAATGAGACCATGTCCATATAAAGACTTGCACACAGATACCCAGAGATCTTTTATTTGTAGTCACCCTAAACTAGTGTAGAATACACCAAATATGCATCAGTTGTAAGGTGGATCACAAGCTGCAATATTTGGGATACCTCATAACCGGAAACAGCAAGGAGCTATGGGTGACACACTGTACCATGAGTGACAGTCCTTATGCCTAGGAAAGGAACTCAGGCCAAAAGAGAATATTTTGTTTTATATATATGTAAGTATTAATATGTATAATGTATGTAAAATATAGTACATTTGTATATGTGTATAACACACATATGTTTGCCATTTCAATACTCATTTATATACATTAACATCAAAAATATGCACATGCATACACGTTGTATAAATACATATTCAGAAATAGAAAGTGGGACTGCTTGAAAGAAATGAAAGTATTTGTTATCATGAATGCAATGGTGTTTTCAAAGGTGTATTCAGTTGCTAAAACTGGTTGAGCTGTGCCATTTCTATAGGAACCATTTATTCTATATAAATTACACCTCAATGCAGTTGTTAGTTCCTTAGTTCCATATAGCCTCTAACAATGCTCAGGAGTTTAGGGGAGGGAAGGAACAACAGGAAAATTGGGAGTGCAGAAATCATTCTATATGATGCTAAAATATAGACACATGGCAGGGGCATTTGTCAAATCCCATGAAACTGTGCAATATGATGAGTGAGCCCTAAGTACACTGTGTACTTCATTTAAAAAACCTTTGCCGGGCAGTGGTGGCGCACGCCTTTAATCCCAGGACTCGGGAGGCAGAGGCAGGCAGATCTCTGTGAGTTCGAGCCCAGACTGGACCGACAGCCTCCAAAACAATACAGAGAAACCCTGTCTCGTAAATACCAAAATAAATAAATAAATAAATAAATAAATAAATAAATAAATAAATAACCTATTGAAAATTGGTTCATTGGTTTTAACTTGTGAACCCCACATAAGCACAGAATGTTTGTGACTGGGGAAACTACAGGCATTGGAATGTACCCTGTTCCATTTTTCTGTAAGATTAAAAAAACTCTAAGAAGATAATAAAGACTGTTTTTAAAATGTGGAGTACACAAAGTACCCTATAAATTATCATTGTAGTTTCTAGAACTATTCCATTAGTTTTAATGTAAAAATGAATTCAACTGAGAAGAGAACACTTTAATTCATGTTTCAGCCTCACCATAACTTTCCCTGTAGGTTAATATTCCAAATGACAGAGGTATCCTATTCTTTTTCTTTCTTTTGGTTTTTTGAGGCAGGGTTTCTCTGTATTGTTTCGGAGGCTGTCCTGGAACTTGCTCTGTAGACCAGGCTGACCTTGAACTCACAGAGATCCTCCTGCCTCTGCGTCCCAAGTGCTGGGATTAAAGGTGTGCGCCACCAACGCCCAGCTGAGGTATCATATTCTTTTGTAAAGACATTTTATTTGTAAATTCTGGGCATGTATATGAATCGGTGCATAGGTTTGCACACATGAATGCAAGTGTTCAGCGAAGTGGTCTCTGATGTGGATCTCAGAAGCAAACTAAGACCTCTGTTAGAGGAGTAAATGCCCTTAACTACTGAGCAACCTCTCTATACTCCAGTATCACATTCCTAATAAATTATTCTCCAGTCCTTAACCTTCATTTATATCCCACTTCATAAAAATTCCACTGGAAAGACACATTAAATTTGAAATGTCTGAAGCAATTAACTGATTTTGACTAAATGTAACAAAAAATAACTTGGATTTTTTTCTTTGTTTTCATGACTTCTTCATGGGTGTCCCCAAAAGGGAGTTTCGAACCTTGGTAATTGAGATGGTAATGGCCACAGATATGTCTTGTCATTTCCAGCAAATCAAAGCCATGAAGACAGCCCTGCAGCAGCCAGAAGCGTGAGTAGCGTGTGACGTCATCTTCTCATAGAGCTTGGACTGAAAATTGCACATTGTATACTGTGAAAATGAATCACCTTCAGGGCAATGGTTGGGTTATCTCAGAAAGCAGTGATGTCTGGAGCAAGGAACTTGAGCATCATGTAGTATCTCACAATTAGTTAGAGGTTTATCAGAATCAGAGTTGAAGAAAATATAGGCAGGGTATCAGTTGGCCCCAATTAGCAGTTAAATGATCAAAGATCTGCTAAATGTACAACTAACTTAAATATTGTTAAGATTTTTGTCATCTGGTTGAAAACTGCAGCCATTCTATTAATTGATTAAGTGAGATATACCTTATTCAGTAAATGCTGAAATGTTTGTTCACCAACCTGGAGGCAGTACTTAGAGGACACTCGCTCTTTCCTCAATTCAGAGCCATCTGGGTTTTATGTAAACAGAGGTGATTTTCAAGATTTTTTAAAACTTCCAGTGTTTGAAGTGTGTGGTCACTGTGTGCTTGCATGTGTTGGGTTTGCAGAATTGAGAAGCCAAAAGCCTTATCCCTGATGCTGCACACAGCAGACATCAGCCATCCTGCGAAAGCATGGGACCTGCACCACCGCTGGACCATGTCTCTCCTGGAGGAGTTCTTCAGACAGGTACCTTGTCTCTTGCTGCTCACTGGGGCTGGTGTTGAATATTCTGGGAATTGAATATTTCAGCACCATTCTGGCAAGGACCACAGAGAACATAGTTACTTTCTTTGGAGAAGGGGCCTTTTCATAGTTGTTTTATTTCTGCATGTGTAATGCTTGAATTTTACCTAAATTCTAATTGTCAGGACATTGTGAATTGCATTACTTTCTGTCTTAGGCATTTCTGCTTAGAAGAAAAGTGTTTCCTTGTGGCGTTCTCTTTTCTAAGTATCACTTGAAGAGGACTTTTTCTTTATTTTTCCTAATGAGTTATCAAAAAGGTTATTAAAATTATTTTGATATTGCTCTGTGGGACTATGTTGATAAACTTTGAAACATGTCTCTTATCATTAAGTAGGTTGGGTTTTTTTTGATGATGAATTATGACAGACACAATCTTCTAAAACTAAGATAAGGCAAGTTAGAGTCAAGAAATCACTATTAATTATTGTTCAAGTTCATTTAAATATTACTACACCTTCAATCCAGTGTCATATTATCTATAAGAACAGACAGTCTTTCTTGAGTATGCATTCCTTTAAGACAAACACAAATATGTGAATTTATAGCAAAAAGGAAACAAGTGAACATCACCAAGACCTTAAGATTAGGGTGAGTTCTCCAGCCTGACACAGATGCTGGCCTCACCTTGAGAGGAGCTGTCACATGGGCACCTGCTTTGAGACATGAGACCCTGAGCTCAGTCAGTGAAATGTAGATTACAGATCTCAGTTCCTGCTAGTTCATATTTGTAAATGAACTCAGCTAATTCTTGTTCATTCAAAAAAGGAAGCACACATCATGGGTTTTGAGAACTCTAGCCATTGGCATCTGGTAAACCTACTTTTGGGGGACATCACAGGGCAAGTGTCCTAGCTCTGGTCTCTCTGCTTTTAAGTCACTGACACCATCACAATCTTATCTAATCCATGCTGTCTCCTCAAGGCTTCACCTTTAAATACTATTAACTCATGACTTTGAGGAGTAAGTCTCCATCATCTTAGGTGTGGGGACACACTGGCACACTGTGGGCGTGGGCATGAAATTCTCCTGATGCTCTTACTTTTATGACTATTGTTTGAATGAGGAAAAAATTGCACAAGAATTTATATGTGTATTTTTTCTTTCTAAAACTATATACATTGTGTGGTAGTAAGTGGGTCTAGAGTGAAACAGTTACAAAAGCCCCAAATCATCCATCAGTGCTTTATTCCAACTTCTTGACAGCTAGGGACTAATCAAGTCACCCTTCTGATTCCTTTTTTTGTGTTGTCTGTGATTGTTTTGAGGGAACAGAAAAAATTTGGGGTAAGTTTAGATGAATGTTCATAAGACTCTTCCAACATTGAATATACTGTGTTCTCTTCAGTATGTCCATGGGTGCCAGTCCACATATGTACAACCACCCTTACCCCAAGTTCATGTGTCCTGTCCTTATATGGGAAGCGTCCTTTGCGCATGCATTATGTGGTTTCCATAGTAATTCCCAGGGTCTATGATGAGTAGAATGGAGTAAAGAGTAGGAGGAACTTGAGTGACACAGGTATGGCCCTGAGGTGTATATAAGGACAACAGACTATAAATTTTTCCCTCATTGAGAGCTTACATTAAACAATTTTTAAATGACTGTTTTCCCAAAAATAGTCATTTCTCTAAATACCTACCCCTCCTTTTTCATATGCTCCCTTTGATGTAGTTTTGTAAAAAATACCTCTAACATTCGAGGAGTATTCAGTCTGTGGCCAGTGGACAGATCATGGCTAACACGTGTAAGTTTGATATATTGAAGTGATTCCTTTTTTGAATTATGAGAGTGTGTAAATTACTTAATTATTTGAACATTATTTCCTCACTATAAAGGAAACTGTGTACACACACACACATAGGAATAAAATGTGCTGGTGCAATGTGGAAATAACTAAACTGAATTTCTTGATCTCTCAGGACTAGTGTGTTAAATCACTAAAATTGAACTGGTTTTAGTGAGTGTAATTCAGTAAAGGGTTTCTATTGTCTTAACCCAGATACCAAAGCAAAGCAGGTAACCTATGAAAGGAGTAATGTTTCCCCACCTCTTAGTGTTAGCTTTAAAATTGGACAGTTCCCATTAGGAAATTCCAATAAGACCAGAGAAGCTTTTTAAAATTACTTTCAGAAAGTTGGGCTATAGTTCAAAATAATGAGGAAGCTAGTCCTTGGGAACACAGTCCAAGTGTCCTTGCTCTCCTGAAGAAGGGAGTTTCATCTTTGTCTTCATAACCATGTTCTACAGAATCCACACCATAGCCATAAAGTGCTTTTAAATGTAACACAGACTTTGAAAACGTATGTCTGCCTTCGTAAATCCATCTTGTTCTGAAAAGCTTTGAGGTTCATTTTCCTTTTCTCACTGTGTGCGTTTATGTTTTGGAAACATCTTTCATAGTTCTTTTCATTTCTTCTATGTCTGTGGCTGTTTCTTCATTTGCTTGTTATTTCATATGTATTGTTTAATTTTTCCCTCTCCCCTACAAGACTGTGTTGTTATTTTAATGTTTCTTTCTTCTTTAGTGATAGTTTGCATCTTTATTCAACTCATTTACTTTTATTTTTCTAGCTCTTTGAATTTGGTGTTCATTTCATTTGTTTTCATTTTCACTTGTTTGGAAAACAGAAACTGAGAAGTGTTTATTCATTGCTGCTTCTGATACACTGTGCTCAAAGCAGTCTTAAGTGGCTAGTCTTTAAATCTGATTTTTATTTTTCTTTTAACCAAGAGTTACATCAAATAGAATATTTTCCAGCTTTTATATATTCTTTAGTGATATATTTCTTAATTTGATAGATTCCAAATTACTTTGTTTTATTGACCAAATAATTAGTTATTGTTTAGAGCTTAAATTAAATCTGTGTATGTGTGACCTTAACTGGAGGCTACTAAGATTTCTGAGTGCTACTGATTTATTGGTGATGTTCATTACAATTAGAGTGTGCTAGCTGGAACAAATTTGCTCTGTGGTTCTCAAAACTTGACTTCAAATATGGCTGCCTCCTTGGCAACAGTAATTCTTTTAGTAGCTCTTTTTATTTGCTTACATGCCTTTTTGTCATTTTGCCTCATGATAAGCCCTTTTGGTTTGAATTATTATCCCACATTTAATAGATGGAAAGTTGTGAAATAGCAAAGGACAGTGACCTTTCTAGGACCACACATGACACAGCAGAAAGGCAGGATTCTAACACAGACCAGTAACCATTATGCTGAGTGAGCGTCTTCCTACAAGAAAAGGAAGAACACAGTTCACTGATAGGCTTGAGGAGAGATATTCTTCTCCTTCCTGGACGTGACAGAAAGACTGAACTCCTGTTTCGTGTTTTAAAAGCCATCTTCATCAACAGTCGTCCATGGAGACTATTTTGTAGTAACAGTTATGTTGTTTTGCTGTCTAATAACTGGTTCTTTCTAGTCCACTTTTCACTGTACATCGAGTGTTAGGGCATGAAACACAGAAACACTTACTCCCTTTGCGTTTGGCTTTAGGTAATGTTAGGAGACAAAGCCATGTCAGTCAGCTTGAATTTCCCTTTCGGATACTGCTCACCACTGGAGGTTCAGTGCCTAGAAGAGGAACACAGGTAGCCCCAGGAAAACTGTGAGGAACACAGCCATTCTGACTATGATGCTGGCTCTAGGCCACAGGACACATGGACCACTGCCTGGTTTTCCATGGGGAACCTATTGCTGCCCAGTGAGGCTTTCTTGGGGACAGCATGAGACTTTGCATTCAGAAGGAATGATTGCTCTCCAGAAGCCACTACTTCTTGGTGTCCTTTGTTTAGAGGAGTGGGCCCTACCAGGACTCATTATACAATGTGATTGTAATAATTAGAATAAAGATAAGTGGTCTAAGTGGTAGCTGAGGTTGCTAAATAAAATCGGGGCGACCCAGCCCACTCTTCTTTTGTTTACTGTGACCTTCTGTTTTTCTAGGGTGACAGAGAAGCAGAGCTGGGGCTGCCATTTTCTCCTCTGTGTGACAGAAAGTCAACCATGGTTGCTCAGTCACAAGTGGGTAGGTATTTACCAGCTACCTGGAAGGGGCATCAGATGGCGTATCTGTGGCAGGTAGGGCCGCTGTGATCGGTGACCCCAGCTGGGGCTCTGGCGCACTGATGCCAGCCTTTGGCAGGCTGAAGTGACAGCATTCTCTCTGGACGATGGCTTGTTCTTGTGGTGGAAATTAGATGGTGGAACTCTGGGGTCTCCATCGTTCCTTCCAAAAAGAAAGGAGGCTTTTACTTCCCAAGGAAATGACCATACTTACTGTAGTTAGGGAATCCATTTTTGCTTCGGTGTCCCTATTGTGCTTCAATACTAGAAGCCATCTTACTGTCCCTCTTCTTCTTCTTCTTCTTCTTTTCTAGATAGGATTTCTCTGTGTAGCCTTGGCTCTCCTAGAACTCGCTCTATACACCAGACTGCTCTTGAACTCAGAGATCAGCCTGCTTCTGCTTCCCGAGTGCTGGGATTAAAGGAGTGGGCCACTACTGCCTGGCCATCTCCCCTTCTTGATGCTTTTGTCCAAGTTTGGGGCTTTTTTCCTTTTAAATTGTTTTGGTTTCCTTACTCTTTTCCTTCAGTACAAAATAATAAGAATTATCATCATACAGGCATTACAAAAAACCCTCAGCCATGGGAGAGAGAAACAGTGTCACCCATCACGCATAAAATAAATGTCATGAATCTGTGATCATTCAAAAATCAATTTAATAAGGAATTACTGCCTTTTCTACTTGTCCACTCTGGGAACAGAGCTAGAGTCTCCTGAAATGCAGGCTGGGTATAAACCAGCCATTTAGCTAAAGTTATACTTGAGCTCAGGCTTGCCATAAACTGACTGTATAGCCCTACTGAGTTCTTGCCTTTGACTCCCAGGTGCTAAGATTGATAATGTGTGCCACCATGCCTGGTATCTGCTTGAACTTTATGTGATCATTCATTGTTTCATTTGTTTCATCATGACTTATCTTGGGTTCCTGTTGGGTACTGGGCACTGCTAGGAATGATAATAGAAGCTATAATGTCAAACATTAACTCTACATGGTACCTGTATTAGATAGTGGGTAAGATATTAGGAAAACAAAGAATTTCTAGAACATTATGCATGTTGAAAGTAGAGTTACTAGCATTTTACAATGGAATAGACAAACAGGATGAGAACCATTACATTCAGGTAGTCCACACAGATATATTAAGGGGTGATATTTGAGCTATGTATCTGAGGAAGTATTCAGGTAGTCCACACAGATATATTAAGGGGTGATATTTGAGCTATGTATCTGAGGAAGTATTCAGGTAGTGGCTAGGCAGGTAGTGACGTAGTGGTACATGCTAGCAATCTCTTAATGGTGGATAAAATGACACCACAGAAAACAGAGAGATTAAAAACTGCTTAATATGGTTAGTGAATTCTCAATATCTCCAATATGGCAGGAACAGTGGGTAGGAAGTAGGATACAGTGAGAAACACTATAGAGAGAAATCAGACCAGGATTTTACATTGTACCAAGAAGAGCACACACGCCTATAACTTTCCTGTAGGAAATGGGGACCCATCAAAAGAATTCTGTGAATCATCAAATACTTCGGTTTGACCTCAAAATTAAATTACAGTGAATTGCAAACAAATTTTGTTACCAGTGTTTCCTTATCAGGTAGGCAGTTCTTATTTTGAGGGTCACAATATAGGATGTTTAGCATCCTTCTCTGCTGAGTATCAATACCAGTATCACTATCACCTTAAAAACTATGAAAAGTAAATATTCATTTCTGCATTTCCAGATACCCACTCAGATGAGTGGGAAGTGAGTTCCTTGGTGGGTATTTGTTTCCTTCCTTATGTGTGACTGTGGGAGACTTACTCCAGTTCCTATATACTATTTTCACTCAATGTGTTGGAAAGACTCATCATCTACTTTGCTCTTTTTTTCTTTTTCTTTCTTTCCTTCTTTATTTCTCTCTTTCATTCTTGTTGTTGTGGTTGCTTTTCTGTCTGTTTGGGTTTATTTGCTTGTTTTTGAGTTAAGACAATTACTCTAAGTCAGCGTTTGCCATCTCTCCGTCTTAAGAGGTGTCACTGCAATAATGACCCTAACACAGTTTCCAGTCCTTTCTTCTAACTCTTTCCCTGTGGCTCTGCTTCCTGTATCAGATCAGCAGCTTGCAGCCCATCTTCTGTCTTCTTTCATTTCTTCGGCTTTGTTGCTGGAGCCTCAGGGAGGGTTCCCTCGAGAGCAAAGCAGCCTCCTGTGCTTTGCTGTGTGTGCCTTTGGTGTCCAGCATACAACAGTTCTGGTTCTCCATCTCTTACCTTCTGATTGAGCCGTTCAAAGGCTCCTAACAGGATGTTCTTGCCCTCTGTCCTTTCTCCTCACTGCCTTGCCATGCCTTTTGCTGCACAGACTGTATCAAAGCTCATGTAAATGTATCATCACACAACTGCCCAGATATCATCAGACCAAGCCTGTACTCCGGATAACTAGCCTCCCTGAACATTTTTTCCACGTTCAAAGCAGTCCCCACATCCCAGTTGTTCTGCAGACACCTCCTGCATGCTTTTCTACCTCTGAAAGTCCTTCTATCCAGAGCAAATAGCCACATTGTTCTCTTTGTAATTTAAATTAGAAACAAGATTGTTTTACATGTCAATCCCAGTTCCCTCTCCCTCCTCTCCTCCCCTGCACCCATTAACCCCCTGTCCCATCACCTGTCTGCTCCCCAGGAAGGGTGAGACTTTCCATGGGGTATCTTCAAAGTCTGTCATATCATTTGGAACAGGGCCTAAACCCTCCCCCATGTGTATAGGCTGAGAGAGTATTCCTCTATATGGAGGGGGGCTCCCAAAGTTCATTCGTGTACTAGGGATAAATAATGACCCACTACCAGAGGCCCCATAGATCAGACCTCCAAACTGACATCCAGGTTCAGTCCTGTGTTAGTTTCCCAGCCATCAGTCTGGGATCCATAAGTTCCCCCTTGTACAGGTCAGCTGTTTGTGTGTGTTTCTGCAGCCTGGTCTTGACACCTTTGCTCATCACTCCTCCCTCTCTGCAACTGGATTCCAGAGTTCAGCTCAGTGCTTAGCTGTGGCTGTCTGCTTCTGCTTCCATCAGCTACTAGATGAAGGCTCTAGGATCAATCTCGTTATTGGGGAAGGGCATTTAAGGTAGCCTCTCAGCTATTGCTTAGATTGTTAGTTGGCTGTCAACCTTGTAGATCTTTGGACGTTTCCTTGGTGCCAGATTTCTCTTTAAAACCTGTATTGGATGCTTCTATTATGGTATGTCTTTTCTTGCTTTCCTCTATTCTTCCCCTGACTTGATCTTCTTGCTTTCTCATGTCCTCTCCTCCCCTTCCCTCCTCGTCTTCCCTTCTCTTTCTCCTAACTCCCTATCCCCTACCCCCATGCTCCCAATTAGCTCAGGAGACTTTGTCCCTTTCTGCTTCTCTGGGAGACCATGTATATATCTCTTAGGATTCTTCTTGTTCCCTAGCTTCTCTGGTGTTGTAGATTGTAGGTTGGTAATCCTTTACTCTAGGTCTAAAATCCATATATGAATGAGTACATACCATGAATGTCTTTTTGTGACCTCACTCAGGAGGGTTTCTTTTAGTTCCATCCATTTTCTTGCTAATTTTAAGATTCCATTGGCTTTTTCAGCTGAGTAGTATTCCATTGTGTAAATGTACCACATTTTTTTCATCCATTCTTCAGGTGGGGGGCATCTAGGTTGCTTCCAGGTTCTGGCTATTACAAATAATGCTGCTATGAACATGCCTAAGAGTAGAATTGCTGGATCTTGTGGTAGCCTGATTCCTGTTTTCCTGAGGAAATGACATACTGATTTCCAAAGTGGCTGTATGAGTTTGCACTCCCACCAGCAGTGGAGGAGTGTTCCCCTTTCTCCACATCCTCTCCAGCATAAATTATCATTGGTCTTTTTGATTTTAGTCATTCTGACAGGAGTAAAATGGTATCTCAGAGTTGTTTTGATTTGCATTTCCCTGATGGCTAAGGATGTTGAGAACTTTCTTATGTGTCTATCAGCCATTTTGGATTCCTTTATTGAGAATTCTCTATTTAGTTCTGTACCCCACTTTTTAATTGAATTATTTGGTATTTTGGTGACTAGCTTCTTGAGTTCTTTGTAAATTTTGGAAATCAGCCCTCTGTCAGATGTGGGGTTGGTGGGGCTGCTGTTTTGTCTTCTTGACTGTGTCCTTTGCCTTACAGAAGCTTCTTAGTTTCAGGAGGTCCCATTTATTAATTGTCGATCTCAATGTCTGTGCTACTGGTATTATGTTCAGGAAGCAGGCTCCTGTACCAGTTTGTTTGGGGGTACCACCTACTTTCTCTTTTAAGAGGTTCAGTGTGGCTGGGTTTATGCTGAAGTCTTTGATCCAGGTTAACTTAAGTTTTGTGCATGACAATAGATATGTATGTATCTGCAGTCTTCTACACGCAAGCATCCAGTTATGCCAGCACCATTTGTTCAAGATGTTTTCTTTTTTCCATTGTATAATTTTAGCTTCTTTGTCAAAAAATCAGGTGTTCATAGGTGTGTGGGTCCATACCAGGGTTTTAAATTCGATTCTATTGGTCTGCTTGTCTATTTTCTGTCAATACCTATATATTATAGGACTATAGCCCTATAATAGAGCTTGAAGTCAGGGATGGTGATGCCTCCAGATGTTCCTTTATTATACAAGATTGTTTTGTCTATCCTGGGTCTTTTGTTTTTCATATAAAGTTGAGAATTGTTCATTCAAGGTTTTGAAGAATTGTGCTGGGATTTTGATGGGAATTTCCTTGAATCTGTAGATTGCTTTTGGCAAGATTGCCAGTTTTTACTACAATGATCCTACCTATCCAAGAGCAGGGGAGATCTTTCTATTTTCTGGTGTCTTCTTTAATTTCTTTCTTTAAAGAATCAAAGTTCTTGTTATACAGGTCTTTCACTTGTTTGATTAGCATTATCCCAAGGTATTTGATGTTGTTTGTGGCTATTGTAAAGGGTGATGTTTCTCTGATTTCTTTCTCAGCCCACTAATATTCTGTACATAGTAGGGCTACTGAATTTTTAAGTTAATATTGTTAATCTTTGCTGAAGGGGTTTATCAGCTGTAGGAGTTCACTGGTAGAGTTTTTTGGGTCACTTATACAAATTATTATATCATCTGCAAATAGTGAAAGTTTGACTTCTTCTTTTCCAGTTTGTATCCCCTTGATCTTCTTTTGTTGTCTTATTGCTCTAGGTAGAACTTCAAGTACAATATTGAAGACGTATGGAGAGAGTGGACAGCTTTGCCTTGTTCCTGATTTTTTAGAGTAATCATGTTGAGTTTCTCTCCATTTAGTTTGATGTTGGCTGTTGGTTTGCTGTATATTGGTTTTGTTATGCTTAGGTATGTTCCTGTTATCCCTGATCTCTCTAAGATGTTTATCATGAAGGGGTGTTGGATTTTGTCAAAGGCTTTTTCAGCATCTAATGAGATGACTATGTGATTTTTATTTCTCAGTTTGTTTATATGGTGGGTTACATTGATGGATTTTCCTATGTTGATCCATCCCTGCATCCGTGGGATGAAGCCTACTTGATCATGGTGGATGACTTTTCTGATGTGTTCAATTTGATTTGCCAGTATTTTATTGAGTATTTTTGCATCAATGTTCATGAGGGATATTGGTTTGTAGTTCTCTTTCTTACTTGTGTCTTCCCACATTGTTCTTGTCCCCATCCTTGAGAGCTCAGGTCCAACACACAACCTTCACACAACTGCTCACTGATCTATATAGGAGAAAAACATCTCCCTCTCTGTTCTATTCTATTTCTTTCCCAAGAGCCTTCATCTAGGCTTCTTCTTTGGTCTTGCAGAAACTCTAGGGGTTATTTTTGTGCCTGTTAAATCTTACCTATAAATTCCTTGAGAGGTGCTGGGTTGCATTATTTATCTTTAGCCTTTTACAAAACACATCACTGTGCATGTTACATAGCAGGTGTTAAATTGTGTTTTTAAGCATTCAGTTGAATAACTTATTAAGAAGTCCTAAGGACATTATATAGGGGAAATGCAACTGACTAATGACATTCAATAAGAATGAGACCAACTAACTAGGCAGACTTGGAGCTCCCATGTAGATGTGGTGTTTTGTTTATTTGTTTAGTGATGGAAAGGCTAATTGGTTTCTAGTGGAAAACCTGGGAGGGACCCTGTTAGCATAATGTTATCTGAGCTACCCCTGCTTCCCTATAGGTTTTATTGACTTCATTGTGGAACCTACCTTCACTGTGCTCACGGATATGACTGAAAAGATTGTGAGTCCATTAATCGATGAAACCTCTCAGACTGGTGGGACAGGCCAGAGGCGCTCAAGGTCAGTGGGAAAGCTGGAAATCTGGGTGGGGAGGGAATTCTCATGTTGGGGAATGTGTGGTGTTACAGTGAGCTGTACTCTCCACTTCTTACAGGAGACATGTCTGTTTCCTTTCTTTAAGAGGCTTTGCAATGACGTTATCTGTGCTCTCTAGGCTGACCCATAAAGTCATCCAAGGGCAGAGTGGTATGGCCCCACTCTCTGAAGCCTTTGGTTCTTGCAGCACTGACCACAGCACTCCTCCTGTGGGGCACAGAAAGCCCTTGTTCCTCATTCTGCAGATGGTCGTGTTTTTGATTAGAGTTCTTACGAGAAATGAAGCTGACTTTCATTTCTATTCGGGAAGAAAGTAGAATACATATTTTTAAAAATATATAACAAAACATCTAGTGCCATGGATCACAGCGTAAATCCTTAAAGATATCAAATGTAGAACAGTAAAAGGCCAGACTCTCCAGTCAAAGTTCAGGCTTAACATCCTGATTCTACTTGTTATCAACCCATGTAGTCTCATATGAATCAGCTCACTGTCCTAGTTTCCTTCCCTAAGGCTGTGATGGAAGCATGTACAAAAGCAACTGGAAGGGAGAGTTTATTCAGCTTATAGTTCCTTGCTACAGTCTTTCACTGTACGGAAGCCGAGGCAGGAACTTGAAGTAGCTTGTCACATCCAAACTCAAGAGTAAAAAGAATCAGTTCATGTATATTTACACCCACTTCACTTTTCCTCTTTTGTACAGTCCAGGACCCAAACCCATGGAAGTCCCACACTGGGCTTGGTCTTCCCACAACCATTAATATAATCAGGATAATATTCAGAATGATAAACTTGATCTAGGTAATCACTCACTGAGACTTTTCCCAGATGATTATAGATATGCAAATTAAACTCACCTCACATTCAGGTTATTCATTTGAGAAAATAAGGTTATAAATTGAATTATTCAGTGTTTATAAGGTCATTGGAAGGCCTGCCATATAGAAGTGCAGGCCACAGTAAGGCTGGCAGTTATTCCTTATTGGCATTGCTGATTCTGGTACTACAACTTCTGCTACTTTTGTTCTTGCTACCACCATTACTTTAGCATGGTCATCACCACTACCACCACCAACAACAACACTACCACCACCATCAACCATCTCTACCACCATCACCATAACCATCACCACCTCCATCACCACCACCAGCCCCATTACTACCACCATCACCACCACTACCACCACCAACACTTTATCATTTCTAACATGACTCTTAGCTGTTGCTAACCCATTGCAATGATAGCTTACCTCTACATCTTTGTAACTTTGAGCTTTGTTTTAAAGGATGTAGGCAGAATTGGTTATAAAATATGAGAAGAAATGAACATAGAAATAAGTAAATAGGGAGAAAGTAAAAAAAGAGGAATTCAAAGTTGGTCAAGGTGAATGAGCCCTCATTAAATTCGCTAAAAAAAAAAAAAAAAAAAAACAAGCACGGGCAAAGCCCTTGATAAGTCTACATGCCTTCTTAGGCATTTGGATACTGGCTAAAATGAACTTTAGTAATGCTTCATTATCATTTAGTGGCTCTGACTTACAGCAGCAGTAAATGGTATAGCTACTTAGGAACTTCATCAGAAGAATGCTGCCTTCAGATATGGGCAACATATCCCGTGTTTAAGGCACAAAGTAGAATTCATTGAAAATTAGATCTCTGGCATGGTTTGGTGATCCACCATCCCTAAGAAATGCAAGGGAATTATTTCCTTTTTCTGAGCTTGGGAAACCCAAATTGGAGGAATTCTGAAGGTTAGTAAAATGGCTCAGTAGGTGAAGGTACTTGTCATCAGACCTTATGACCCAAGTTTGATCCGCAGGACCCACATGATCAAAGAAGTAAACACTTCATGGGTATTATCCTCTAGCTGCCACATGTATGTCCTGGCATGTGCATATAAATAAATGAATTAAGTATAATAATCATAAAATTAGAGGGATCCTGAGTCCAGAAGGATGTTAGAGCTGGACAAAAGGGACCAGTTTGTTGAGTAACTTGGGAAGGTGATCAATGTGATAGCAGGTAGATGCACTGTGAAGTAAATAAAACTCTAAGTTTGTTTGTTCATTTAAAAAAACAGAACAAAAAATGCCAGGGGATTGCAGTTGAGAGAGAGAGAGACAGAGAGAGACAGAGAGAGACAGAGACAGAGACAGACAGAGAGAGACAGAGAGAAACAGAGAGAGAGAGAGAGAGAGAATGAATGTCAAGTCAGCATAGAAGGATGTAAAGAATACTGTGACAGCTGAAGATGCAGTGTTTGTATTCGTTTCTGCTAAATCTTAGAATTTCCTACCTGTCTCATATGTGACACTGCATCTCTATAAAGCCCAAGGCCTGAGGGGATCGTGATGGCAACTCAGCCAATACTACCAAGCCTTTTGTGGACTTTCTCAGTGTCTGTATGTTGCAGACACTGACACTAACACTCATCTTTGGTATGACTTGTTTTTTTCTCCAGTTTGAACAACATCAATGCCTCAGATGCAAAGCGATCAGGTGTCAAGAGTTCTGGGTCAGAAGGAAGCGCTCCCATCAACAATTCTGTCATCCCTGTTGACTATAAGAGTTTTAAAGCCACCTGGACTGAGGTGGTGCACATCAACCGGGAGCGGTGGCGGGCCAAGGTGCCCAAAGGTAATGTGCTCCTCTGGAAGAATCTTCTAGCATTATCCAGACATACTCAGTGTCCACTTGCAAAACCAGTGACTTCCTTCTGTGATTTACAGACCTTTCTAGTAAAGCACATTGCTCCAGTGCCTGGAGGTGTTGAATAATGGGTAGTACCATCTGCCAAGTCTCAATCTGTCCAACACTGAATGCACGGTAGAATGTCGTAGACCTCCGGGCCTCTCCACCCCGTGTCTTTGTGTGACACAGCTAAACCTTTTTCCAGTGTAGAGTTCCAATAGGCCTGAGATTAGCATTTCCCTGTCTCTGCTAGATTACCATGTGTTACATTTCATGTCAGCAGCCACAACTGCTAGTAAGGCCCCGTCAACAGCTGCCTGCCTTTTGTGTTAAGGTATGAGGAACTTTAATTTCCTCTCAGGGTTTTCCTCTAGTCATTGTTCCAGCCATGGATCTGATGTTGTTTGTTTTTTGAGGTGATAATAACTTGTAAGCAAACTGCAATTTCCTGAAGCAAATCTCATCCAACTTCAGACCAGAAAGGTTGTGACTCCTGCTATTATGTACAGAAAGATAGGAAAATTGTATGTTCCTTCCTTGGAGCTTAATTCATATGCTCATGTTTGCTGGCATTACTGAGCATGACTGGCATATATGACATAATTACACTGTTTAGGTGGCGAGGCACATACACTCAGGGAACACATGGATCTGTGATGCCAGGTCTCAGGGAGGGTTCCACATGTGAAATGGCTCTTGATGCTCAGATAGGGATGATTGCTTCAGCTTTGCGGACGTGAACCCTCAACAGCACTCAGTGTCTGCTGGCACCTGTTGTATGCCATCTATTTTCTAGACTCCATGCCCAGTGCCAAGGGGTAGTATAGATATCACTATACTCTGGGTTCATAGGAAGGCCTCTTACGTTAGAGCAGTGGTTCTCATCCTGTGAGTCATGACCCTTTTGGGGGTCAAACAACCCTTTCACAGGGTCCTATATCAGATATTCTGCATTAGATATTTACATTATGATTCATAACAGTAACAAAATTATAGTTGTGATGCAGTCACAAAATAATTTTATGGTAGGAGGGATCACCGCACCATTTGGAACTGTAGTAAGGGTCCCAGCATTAGGATGGTTGAGAATCACTGTGTAAGAGTTTGATACAAGGATGAGTAAGAATTCCGTCAATACCTGGTACTTACTATCACCATGCCTCCAGAGCAGACAAGGTTGTTGAGACTTTGTGCTCAAACAACACTTGTACTGTGTACTATGTCAGCACAGGTGGAAAGGAGGTAGGATGGTTGATGTCTTGGGTTATTTTCTGTTGCTATAACAAAATATTTGATACTCGGTAATTTACAAAGAGTCAAGAGAATGATATTGGCATTTGGCCCACCTGTTTCATGGTGGAAGCCATCACATGAAGAGAAAGAGCCAGTGGTAAAACTTGAATCTCTATGTCTATAGCCCAACTAATGTCATTGTGGAGCCCTCACCCTCGAGGTGTGGCATATCCTCGTTACCTCTTTAAGCCCCCACTTCCAATCGACAGTTAAATTAAAGGATTGGTGTTTCACTGCATGAAAGCTAGGGAACAACTCTAAGTCCTAGGAGGAAGTTCTGCAGACCCCACAACAGGTGGAGAGAAGCACCCTGCAGCTAGGTTGTTTCAAAGACCAGATACTGACTTGCCAGCAAAATACTACAAAAACTATTGCAGGTAAGGCAAGGGATTTAGATTTATGATGTTCTTGGGGGTACAAATGAAACATTATCATTGGGGACAGATGTTGCACCCTAAGCTATGGAGGGCTCTAACAGCTGCTCTATGTTTTAATTGTAAGGACTTAGGGTCCATTCAAATGTGTCAAGCATTTAAATCCTCCATGTTGGCAGGCTATTGCACCTTCAGAAGAACACTCTCCCACGATCATTACACATGAACATCCAATTTCTGACAAAACACAATTTAAAAAGGTCATTCAAAATCATTTGTTTGCAATTATCTTTGTTACTGAAATTACCTCCTGAACTAATCACCTGGGGAAACGTTAGATGGCTTCTTTTCCAAGGAATAACTGGTCCTTTCAAAAGGACGGATCAATTTAAAATGCACTAGCTGTGTAGCTAGAGATAAGGAAACTATTTTAAGCATCCTGAAAGGACTCATCTCTAACCATGCCTGGGGCCTTTGGGAAGGCATCCAGCAGGTAGAATTTGAAGGACACTGGGATTTGTCTGCTGGTGTTAGAAATAGGAGCAGAGGAGATAGCCCATGTGGTGACACACTTGTAATGGAAGCCTGCATGGTGGTATGTACTTGTAACCCCAGTGATGGGGAAGCAGAGACAGGCTTCTCACTTGCGCTCACTGCCTAGCCAGCCTCTCCCACATAAAGAGCTGTAGGTCAGTGAAAGACCCTGTCTTGGGGGTAAAAGGGGTGGATAGCACTTGAGGAACACACACACATACAAGTATACACAAATGCATAAACATACACACAAAAGAAAGAAGATAATGGGCACATTGTAGCAAAAGGAACAAGGTACGGCCCTTAGGTTATGTGTATTTAGACACACATAGTAAAGGAGGAGACATTTAGTTATGAGGGAAATGAAGACATGAATCCCAACTTGTACAGTTTTATTCTGGGAGGTTCTTTGAGACTCCAGCCTGGACATGGCCCTGTACATTTCAGAGATATCCCTCCCCTCCTTCTCTGTATTGTTTTGGAGGCTGTCCTGGAACTCGCTCTGTAGACCAGGCTGGCGTTGAACTCACAGAGATCCACCTGCCTCTGCCTCCCGAGTGCTGGTATTAAAGGTGTGCCCCACCACCACCTGGCTGATTGGTATTTTCATAGGAAGCTGCTATAAGAAAACCTTCTGAGCTCTTGGGTGCCCCGCAATGTCCTCCTTGTTTCTGCATAGAGCATAACTGAGTACATATATGTCAGCCAGTTAGATACCTATTGTCTCATGTTCATATTCCCATCCCCTATTCCCCATCCTATTTAAGCCAGCAGTTCAGAGTAGTTCCAGGGATAAGTAGCCCAGTGGCATTTCCATTAAGGAATCTATAAGGTCATTACTTACAGAGAAACCTGAATAAAGACTCCAGTGCATTTTTGAGAGTGCATAGGCATCCAGTGTGTGAAGTGTGATTTACAGATCCCAAGGACTCTGTCACACCCTAACTCTTCAGCTGGTTTCCATTGTTTTTTTTTTCTTGATGAGTCACATCAACCCAAGATAGGTTGAAGGAGGAGCAACAGAAAAGAGACCATAAAGTTTGTAGCCTACAGGCCAGAAAGTCTTGGGGTGCCAAGAAGTCTAGATCTAAGACTTGATGACTAACTTCTTTGTATCCATGCCAGCACTGGAACATGTGGGCCCATGCAGATTGACATGTTCTCGCTGAGTTGTTCTCACTGTAGAGTGATGGTATCCATACCAATAAATTTACCCCAAGAGTGTAAAGGAATCTGTAGTGAGACAGAAGTCAACCTTGTGTACATGTGTGTGAGTTTAGGCTTATATGTGTTGGCTGTTGTCTCTTTGTCTTCAGCAGTATCTCTGTGTACTCTGTGGCTGATGACACTCACACAAGTCAAAGGCAGGAGGTGAAAAGACAAGCCAAAGAGCATTGTGGGGCCATGGCTAGAATTTACTAGAAGGTTGTTGCAAAGAAGGGATTCATACCGTGGGCCAGGCCCCTATCTGATTTGATCGTGTTGTAACAAGAGCTATCGTTTGTTAATTTGAAGTAACTTTTCCATGTAAGTTACACTTAAGCAAAAGCATATTTGCCTTGGAAACATTCTCTTCCCTTCTTCTCAGTTGTTTTTCTATAGCTCCCATGAAAAATTGTTCTGACTCAGTTGTCAAATGAGATTTTCTTTCTAAGATAACATTGTATGGTGTGCCATAGTGAAGAACAATTTAATAGCTTCGGATTGTATTTAAATATTTTTAACTTGGGGATATTTTGAGTATTGGAAGTTTGCCATGTTCTCAGTAATGGCTCTGTGAAGGTGGCCATAGCTAATCCTCTCTGATAGTGCATTCTAACTATGGAAGACTCTGCTTCTGTTGCCCTTTATATAATGAAAACAGTTATCTTTTTAAAAATAGCAAAATATAATATGATAAATAAAAAGCTATCACATTGGGGCTGGACAAACAAACAAGGAGAAGGCGCAAACATCAGATACTCACTTGTTCTCACGTTCAGGAATCCCGCAAAAACACTAAACTGGAAGCCATTCTATGTATGCAGAGGACCTGGAGCAGACCTGTGCATGCCCTGAGCATGCTGCCTCCATCTCTATGAGTTCGTGTGTGCCCTGATCATGTTGATTTACAAGGCCTTCTTTCCTTGGTGCCCTCCACCCTCTCTGGCTCTTATACTCTTTCTGGGTCCTCTCCTGCTGGCTTCCCCGAGCCCTGAGGGGAGGAATTTGATAGAGACATCATATTTAGAGCTGAGTGTTCCAAGGTCTCTCACTCTCTGCATGTTATCTGGCTGTGGGTCTTTTTATTTGCTCACTGCTACCGAAAGAATCTTTTCTGATGATGGCTGAGCAAGGCACTGATCTATGAGTGCGACAGGGAAAAACAGTCATCTTTTTATTTACATAAAAGTTAAGGAAGCTGATGTTTGTCAAATATGATTTTTAGAATAGTACCAGAGAGTCTGTATACTTTTGTGTTGTATCAATCTAAGGTGCTAGGTTACATTGATAGTTCATGTAAATCATATGCATGGGTAGCATCTCATGGCTCTCATGGCTTCATCAAAGCCTTCAGGAGCACATAACATGTGATATGTACTGTGCCAACCAGTGATGAGTGTGACATTTGCCCTCAAAACACCTAAGGATATAAGGAAGCCTGAATGAATGTCCTAGAAAACCTCAATGCTTGGCAAAATACTGGCAATGTCAACTCACCACCTTTTTATGGACATTCTTCCACTTTTTAGTGGAGGTCAGAAGTTGAGTTATTCTAGTTTTGGATATGATAGATATTTATAAAGAAATACTTTCTACCCTTTCATTGTATATCATAAATACATCTTGTTGAGGAGAAGAAAGTTACAACACAATGAACGGCTAATACTTAGACATTACATCAGAGCTTCTCAGTACTTGCTGTGTGCCAAAATTACCCAGGAAACATTTGAAATATATTATCCTATCCCTGTTCTTTTAGGCTCTGATTAAATTTGCTTGAGATGAGGCCGGATCATTGATTTGGATGAGAGAATGAATGAGTTATCAGATGGATAGATTGCTGGATCAATGAATTATTAATAAAAATTCCATGCTGTATTAAAGAAGACACCTGGGATAAAGAAGCATGAGGGTCTGCAAAGCAAAAACAAAGACAGGCATCATGAACATCCATGAAATGCATGTCCGTGAGCTTTGTGAATCCACCAGACTGGGCCAGAATGGGACTTGGAGTGTGTTAGCAGTTAGCACAAAAGGAAATATCAGATGCACAGGCTGTCTGGTGTCCATTAGATTAAAGCAATCATACTGCATGCAAACAGCTCAAAGACCAACACTAACCCAAGGGGAAGACAGGGGGCCCCTGGTAATGAGAGGTGAGAAGTTTTTAACTCATCTAGAGAAAAATGCAATAATACTTTTCATAGATGAGGCTGATGATTTCAGGAGTGTATTTAGAGTGAGCGCCGCAGGGTGAATCCCTGAAATGTACTGTGGTTTCTGGCTATGTAAGGGGCCTTTCATATATGTTGTTCTCTACAGCACAGACCTGTTATTTGCCCACCAGCCTCCATGATCTGACCTGTGCCTGTTCTGGGTCAGTTGAGCATTTTTTCTATGATTGACTCCTTGCTAAGTCTCCTTTGGGCCAGTTCAACATCCACAAACACAGCAAGAATGTTCCTCTCAATGTCTCCATGTTGTCTGATTTCTCTGAAGAATGCTACAGTTTCTACAGATAATTTTTCTAATCAGCTTCTCATCACTCAGGACTTGGTGAAATTCTATCTTCTCAGTAAAGTCCTCTCCACCCCTCTGTTTAAAGTCATCTCTTGCCCTGTGCTGACCATGTCCATCCTGTTCTGTCTCTTTGTGTTCAATTCTTGCAATAGGTTTTCAACATTCAAAATTATCTCAGTCTTTTGTTTACTTAATTATAATATTCTCCATGTGGTTCTGTCATGCTTGCTGTCATATCCCCAGTATCTAAAATTATTCTTGGTAATATTGCTGCTAAATAAGTACCAGCTAAATGAGTGAACCAGTGTTTTCATAAATATTTGATGCATGCACTTATACTATATTTTCATTAAGGACAGAGTCAATCAACTACATTAGAAATAATATGAATACTCAATAAAAAGGAGGACCCAGAGCAGGTCCCTAGCCAAACTGAAGGCTACCCCTCATCCTGAGGAGAGTCAGGTACCTTAGGATTTGGAGCGTGCTTTTAGTTTTATGAGGTTTCATATACTTCTTTCTAGTTTTAAATTCACACACTCTGGCTTGAGCTTGTAGTCTTCTAATGATGGTTATTCTCCCCAACTTTTTGTTCCATAGTCAGTTGTTAATGTTTAGGCTGTGGGTGCTAAGCAAACCTCATAAAATGCCATGTATTTTTTTTTAAACTGTGGTTGGGGGAAAGTGTGACCATGTCTCTCAGCCTCGATTTTCGTACCCATAAAATAGGGCCAGAAAATAGCTTTAAGGATGATCAGAAACAACCTTGGAAGACTGCTGAGCACAGTGCCTGGCATGAGGATGCGTTAGCCAGAGGTTATCAGCAGCGTGCGTGCCATCGCTGTTACATTGCCATTATTATGTTCTGCAGTTCCACCCTCTAACACAAGACTTTCAGGTGTGATCCATCTTACTGATATCCTAAAATTCACATGTCCATGTGACTTGAATTAATCAAGAATATACCCAATGCCCTCAATAGGCTGCTTAGGTCATTTTAGTGTACTAGCTCCCATGTGGGTCTCTGCAGGTGATTGTTTTTCAAAAAAAAGGCCATTTTCCTGATGGTAGACCTCTCTTTCTCTTTCCTCACTGCTGGGGGTGTAGAAGAGAAAGCCAAGAAGGAAGCAGAAGAGAAGGCTCGCCTGGCTGCCGAGGAAAAGCAAAAGGAAATGGAAGCCCAAGGCCAACCTGAGCAAGGCAAAGCTGAGAAGAAGACATGTGGAGAAACGAAAGGTCAAGTCAATGGAGCTCGGACAAACAAGGGGAAGAACCCCAAAGGTGACAAGGCCGGAGAAAAACAGCAGAATGGTGAGAAGGGGCTGCCTGGGAAAGATTCTCTTTGGGTGACAATGATGTGACAAACAGAAACTGGTGATGCCCTCCCTTTGCTGGCAGCACACATGGCTCCATGTTTCTCCAGAGAACTAGTCAGTACCCATCCTATGGCTACCAGCTTAGTTCTGTCTTTCTATTTGAAATGGTTCACACCTCTCTGGCCCTTTCCTGATACTGATACTCTGAAGACTCTCACAGGTCACGCAAGTTCCTATGAATAAGTATAGCACAGCCTGGATTTCTTTGAAGGTCAACCTCCCAAATAACATTCCACCCCTTTAACCAGGCCATGCTCCAGTCTGCAGGGGACCTGTTGCCAATGTGTGCATCTGTACATTGACATGGCCTAAGCACACATATTAGGTGACCAGTCAGCCTGGCTTGGTAGATGAAGACCCCAAGATACAGATTTTCATTTCTAAAATCAAAATGGTCCTTATTTTCAGACAATTGATGAGTTCTTACATTTCATGCAATAAATATTTATCAACCACTTTCTCTCAAACTCTGTATTAGATCTGGGAGATTTAGGAATGGAAAGGATAGGGAAAGCCTGTGATGTTATGTCGATATATACACCATCACATATAATTCTAAAGGAATGTGTCCACGATGCAGAGATGAGGGAGGGCAGAGAAGCGGATAAAATTCCCAAGAGTCCTGCCCAAAGGAAGAGATTGCTGTTGGTAGTTGACGTATTGAGATGAGGAAAGTATCTGAGATGTCTTCAGAAGGAGATGGTTCCTGGTTTTCAAAAGTTTTAGTTTGTGGGTCAGTTGAGGGAGAGGCTTTTCAGTCAGAGAGCTTAAGTATGGGTCAAGGCATGGAACCAGCTACCCTGTTTACAGACGGATCAGAAGGAAGTTCTGTTCCTGCAGCTTGCAAATGCCAGGCTCCTACTGGATAACAGGGTACCTTTGCAAACAAATCCGTATTCAAGTTACAATCCTGTTGCTTCTCTCTCCTTGGAGACCTTAGTTAGAATATATAACCTTTCAACTTCTGTGTAAAATACATATAGAACCTGTTCAGATCCCCAGCCTCATGTGAGAATTCAGTAATAATCATGGTAGTCAAGCCAGCTAGAGACTGCCTCAAAATACAAGGTTGATGGTGATTGAGGAACACCCAAGGCTGAGTTCTAACCTCTAGAGGTGTAGATAGATGTAGGTACACCATAAATTCTAGAATTGTAGACATAGTTCCGTGTTATAGATAGGAAAAATGAAACTCAGAAACTAAAGACTTAATCAGTCATTAAGTAGAAATGCTTGCCTTTGGGGATCCCTATTCTCTGTTCTATGGCCAGCTCTTGCTTACTCTCTGCCCAGCCCAGCACTGCTGTGGAAAGGTGGGCATCAGAGGAAGGCCAAGCCCTGCCTGCTGTGCAGAAGACAGGGTAGTACACACTTTCTGTAATGGGCCAGATGCTAAATCCCTTTGACCTCATGGCCATGTACTTTCTGTCACAGCTATTCAACATAGTCCTCAGCTAAGAACAGTACATGAACACATAATTGAGGTTGTAGTCAAGTAGGACTTTATCCTTGGACATTAGAATTTTAATACAATCTAATATTCATGCCACATGATCATTCTAATCAACCCTTTGTAGGTATGAAAGTCATTCTTAGTGTGTGGATCATGCAAAACCAGGCAGTGGGGTCATGAGGCCTAGTTTTCCAGTGGTGTAGTAGTTGTTGAAAAGAACCAATAAATAGCAACACCTAACACATACATACATACATACATACACACACACACACACACACACACACACACACACACACACACACAAACACAAACACAGACTAAACACATTTTCAGCTCTACAAAGACTTGGAGAACAGGGGAGGCATTAATTAATGAATGTTTATTTTTTTGAGGGTAGAACTTGAAAGACACAAACTAGGAGCCTAAATTTTGAATCAGGCCAGGCTGGTGTAACAACCATGTTGTAAAGTGGGTGGCAATCTACCATTTTCCTTCAAAATTAAGTATGGAATAAAGAGTGGGGGAAAACAAATTTAGAACAATAATAAGAATGACTGGAGGTGGTTGGGGACTTGTGTGCAGCAACATAATTAAGATGATTTAGAGCTGCCCAGAAGGTGCCTTCATCCTGTTTATTGAGCATCAGCTGACATCTGCCACTGTTCATGTATGGCCCAGGGGGAAGTCACCTAATGGGTTCTGTTCCAGGAGTGTTAGCAAATAGGCATGTGTCACTTTCTCAGCACACTTCTATGTGGAACACAAAAGTGTTTTCTAGGTTAGAGTGGAAGGATATTGGCTAGAGATCTCCTTTGGTGAATGAAGGAGACTCTAAGCCTTGTTTTCCACCAAGGTAACTTCTCTATGAGCCTCCTCAAGTCAGCTAAGAGGACAGGCTATGTGCTGGTTGCCTGTGGCACACACACACTTCTGCTGCAGAGAGAGCTAAAGCTCTCTGGCTCAGAGCGACATGGCCACCCCAACAGAATAACTAGGAGTGCAGACGTTCACGCGAGGAAGATGGACTGTAGGAAACTGCCAGTGATTACTTTAAGCACAGGACTTGAGGTGTTCAGTTCATCTTTAACATCTTAAATAGGGAAAGCTGAATCGTTTCAAAGGTGTTCCAAAAGAATTCAGAGGATACAAATCATGTCCTCCAACGTAAGCCAACCCTGAAGAGACACTAACCATCCTTTCTTAATCCTTTCAGTCAATCTGTTCATCCCATTTCAGAACTAAGAGTTAAGGCAAGCCTCATGAGTTACTTGATTTCTAATGTAACCAGACTTGTCAAACTTAATGTGTATCTCTATTGAATACATAACAGCCCAAAATAGCCTCAAATTATCCCATTACCATTTCTTCCTAGGTCTATAAGTAAAAGGCCTTTAAAAATGAACACGGGACTAGAGAGCCTGAAATCTAAAGAGTCAGTGTCATAGGAAGGCTTCAGGTAAAGTAGTGGAGAGCTGGGCCTCTGGAATCAGCCCCATCCATGTGGCCTGTTATTGCTTCACTGAGACTGATAATATGTGGCTGGGGTCAATTCCCTGCAAATCAGTTTGAGCACAATTACTTAGCAGGAGACCATTGGTCACTTGTTAAAAAACAGTTTCAGACAGGCAGCTGAAACAGATCTAATAGCAGCTGCTAGTAGTTTGTGGCCAGAGGAAGATGGAGATGTGAGGCTAGGGTAGAAGGTGAGGCCAGAGTCATATCTGAAACATGTGCTGGTGGCAGTTCATCTAGCCAGCATTTGCTCTTCTGGCGACAGGGCTGTCACCGAGGGATGTCTCCAATGTGGAAAACATACTCCAGCACTAGGTGTGTTGGTAGAGCACTGGCTTGCCGAAGGGGGTCTGTGCAGAACATTTGGCAGCAGTTCCTTCCCCCTGGGGTTGTTATAAGACTTCACCGCAGTGATCATGTGCAAAGCACTTGGAAACCTTTGGCACACACTGAAAAAGGATAAAGTTCTTCACTCCTACATATCCTGCCACTCCTGCCCACTGCAAAACTTAACCACTAGGAACTTCTCGATTCTGTGACTACGTAGTATTTGAGTATTAAGGTATTCCTGGCCTCATGCAGCTGAGAAAGAAAGGCACCATTAGTAAAACCAGTAAGGAAAGCATCGAAAACTTTGAAATGAGGATGGCACAAAGCACCCCTCCCTCCTCTTCACTGTTACTCCAGTTATGAGGCAGATCACCAAGAATGACTGTCCTCATCAAGGGGTAACTCCTTGTTCTGTAGCAGGCCACACATGCAATATTCCTAAGCTGTCGGCATCTGCCACACACATTCAACTATGCTGTTGCCAAGTGCAACCACCACAGCCAATATGTGGGTATGGATAGGTCATGTGCCAAGTGCCAGTAACATGTTATTGGCTCTAACAGGTGGCAAACCAGACTGGCCCATAACTTGGTAACCCACAGTTTTAGGGGATGCAAGTATGTTTAAATTTGCTCTTCTGTACTTGATTCATATAATGGTAAAGTTATTTGCTAGATATAAGATTCTGACTTGTACAGAAGATTGCCTGAGGGTCATTGGCATTATTCTTCAGTCATGAACTCCATCTATTATATCATGGCCATGTTTTAACACACTTCTAAGATGCTCATAAATACCCACCTTCTTTGATGCTCATAGGATCATTCTCTTTCCCTCATCAGTGAGTAGTATTTTCGACTTTGGAAAATGATATTTTGACAAGTTCATTAATTAGAATAACACATAGAGCTCTGTCTTGGGATAGGGACCACTGCCTTTGAGCAGTAGACCACGGTGTTACATTTAGCACATAACTGGCTCAGGTGCATCTGTCCATAGTCCTGTACATACAATAGACACTATTAACCCCATTCTGCAGATAAGAAACGGAAGCATAACTATTAGTCAGCATAGTTAGCTAGCTAGTTAATTAGTATAACTTACATGTGCTCCAGGGTTTCCCTCACTTCACAGCCTAACAATAGAACTGAGTTGTCTTTCTTAGAAAATTAGCCTTGACTTAAGCACAACTCTGTTTGATTGGATATTTCAGTTTTAATTTGTGACTGTAACCCAATTTTCAGAACCTATCATGTGGTTACAAAAGACACGGATACCAGAGCGTGTGCTCCCTGGTGCCCCTGTGCTCCACTGGGTCTCATCCACGGGTCTGAAGCGTCTCTACCTCCTCTGATGCACACATTCAGTTTGCCATGCTTATTGCTTTCAGGTGACTTGAAAGATGGTAAAACTAAGGCAGACAAGAAGGATCACTCCAGCACCGGAAATGATTCAAAGAAAACAGATGGTAAGAGTGCCATTCTCATCACGATTTCCATAGAGTGCGCGACTGCTGCAGACATGTTAGCATTGTGCCGGGAGGGAAGTGGGGTAGTATGTAAAGAGAAAAGCCTTTCCTTGAGAGAAGCCTTCCGGCCAGCCTGGTTCTAAAGCCGCATCAGTCCCAAATAAACACACAGGAGGCTATATTAATTATGAAGCTGTTGGCCTTGCTTGTTTCTTACTGGCTAGTTCTGACTTAAGTATTTACCCCATAATTGTTAATCTAAGTATTTCTCTTACCGGAGAAAAGTTCTGGGCTTCCTACCCCATGGTGGTTACATGTTGAATCTCCTTATGTTTCTCCTTCCCAGCGTCCTCCTGGACTCCTAGTCCCACCTATCTTGGTTCCCTATTGGCCCAACAGTGCTTTATTGACATATACATAGGACTTCCCCATCAGTGGTTAATTTGTCCTCACATTCCACCCTGAGTGAGACCTTGCTACATTTAATGAGCACTAGCCTCCCCGTGCAGTGAGTTACAAATGCCCTGTGTGTCTTTTCCTCTCCAGCATACTTCCTCATCACAGACGCTTTTTGTATGCCCCCTTTTCCTGCCTGGCATTCTCTATTGCAAACCTCAGAAGAAACTTGATTCTAGACTTGCTGATTGCAGTTCAGTAGACTAGCACACATTGCTAATGTATGTGCTTAGAACCATTGATTGCACAACATAAATAGGATAAGTTTAGTGTTTTCATATTTTTTCAATCTTGTATTCAAGCTATTACTTTTGGTAAAGATAAACACGAGAATCTGTTCAGTGTTAGGTTGGGAATCAAAATACACTCTCTTAGACTCCAGTTTTCACTAGCATGAACAAGTACTGAAGACAGTGACAATGCGGGACCAAATGGATTGAACCTACAGTGTCACTAATGGGTATGCATTGCAATGTATACCATGAATGAGCTCGTAGTGCAAAGCAGCTTCATGAATGAATGGGCCTACAGTGTTCTGAATGGGCCTTCAGGGCCTTCAGTGTCAGAAAGGAGCCTACACTATAAGGCATTTAATCAATGGGCCTGTTATGTGATGTATCTCATGGGGACGGTTTTTAACTTTACATCAACAACTTTCTACTCATCTAAAAGCTGGGAATGGCAATTACATTACCCTCCCCACTTGGAGCTCCTAGATAGTGCCATTCACCTTCACCCATTATATAAATTTCGTAGTTTAACTTGTAACCCTATGTCCTCCATGATCACCCCTTTATGCATGGGCATAATTGTCAGATAAAGTGAGCTTCTAGGAAGTGGTTTGTGAAGGGTACCATATTTTCTTTGCATTTTATCCCCCGATGACATCTTATTTAATAATAAGCTGTTGTTGAATTAGTTTGTATAGAATATCTTTGAAGAACAAATGCTGGATAATCAAATTGAGGAATAAAATGAAATTTAAGGGAAATAATTTAAATATCTGTTAAAAGGAGTTAGGAATGGATTTGATCAAAACACATTGTATACTTCTATGAAATTCTTAAACAATAAGTAAAGATATATTTTGAAAAAGAAATAAAAAGAAATTCAAGGTCATCCTTGGGTTCAAGACCATCTTGGGCAACATGAGACAAAGTTTCAAAAAATAAATGGAGGCTGGAGCAATAGCTAAGCAGTTAGGACAGCTTGTTGTTCTTGCAGAGGGCCAGGGTTTGTTTTCCATCACCCCCATATTAGCTCACAACCGTATGCAATTCCAGTTCCAAGGATAAGACACCCTCTTCTGACACCCTCTTCTGGAATCTTCAGGAACTACATGGATGTGGCCCATACATATACAGGCAAAACAACCATACATGTAAAATAATAAAATAAAAATAAGATTGGGGGAACATGTCAACTCCTCTTGCTGTAGCCATAATGACATCTATCATTACTTTCATATGTAAAGTTTGTTTTTAAACTGCTCCTTTTAAAAGCAATGAGAAACATCACTCCCAGTGTCTTATCATATTATACCTAAGGAACTCACACCTGCAATTTCTCATCAACTTGTGCATGAAAACAGAAACCACGTGCCTAATGAGTTATCCCCTCCTTGAATAATTATGACTAAGCAGTGAATTATGCAGAAATACAATACAAAATGGTGACTTCTTAGCTCTACCCTCTATGAGAAAGATTGTTCAAATACCAGAGATTCATTGTCAAGTGTCATGAGACCAAGTCAAGGCAACCGACCCCAGAAATTGCTCTGTGGAGGAAACCAGCACTCAGACACCTGCCCCATCCTGCATTTAACAATGAGCTGACTCCCAGTCTTCATTTAGTTATTTTTAAATAACTGGCATGATCCCATTACAAGTGGAATGGGTTAAATTTGATCATCTTCATAAAGCCTTCTTATTTTAACTGTGCCTTTAAGCTGAATTATTCCCAAGTATGTGCAAGAATTAAACTTATTGGTGCAGTGATTAATTAAGTTCTAGGTTCTTGGGAACAAATAAGCAGAAAAAGTGACTGTTTTATGAACAGGATTCTTGATCTGATGTTACAGTGAACTGGCTGTAGTAAATAGTGACAAGTCCTGCTCTCTGTCTCTGTTATCTACCTATGACACCAACCTGCAACTGTTTCAGGAGAGACTCAGTATGACGTGCTTGTGAGCTTGTAGGAAAACAGGCTGAGTGTGTCTCACACCCTTTGTCACTGCTTTGGGATCAGCAAGACTGAGGGCACTAAGCTTTGAAGACTGATGCTCTTTTCATTCAAAACCTTTACCTAGACTAAAGCCACTTCTTGATAGGAAGAAGCAGAAGAGAATTTGATGACTTTCACTTGTCCCTTCCTTTTGGTCACTAAAGGCCTTTAATTAGAAAATCAACTGAAAGGAAATATATAGATCAGTACTTAGGTTGACTAAAATATGGGAATAAGATCAGAAACATTTCTTTGCAGTGGGTCCTATTATATTTGGTAACCAGGGGGAGTTGCTTGAACTTCTCAGTGGCCTTCCCACCATCCTTACTCCGGAGAACCACTGGAGGCTGTCAGATGGAACATTCTGGTATCTGTCTCTACCTTTGGGGTGTACCTGCTAGGAAGAGTGAGCCTGGGCTGTTTGTGTGTCTGGTGTCCTGGCAATGAGGCTACTCTACAGCATCCTTTTGGTCTCCTTTTTGGACAGATGTGTTACTATCTTCTAGTCATTTTTGATTGTTTTCCTGGTTCTCAATCTTGAAACTTTGCTATCTTTAAGGAAGGTATTTTCAAATGTTTTCATTCTCTTGAAAAGTTTTCTCCACCATATTGTCACAAACTTTGTACTCTGTATGCATCTTCAGATCATATGATGTGTAAAATAGGTCAAAATGACGAAAGTCTGGGAACTCCTGCTGTGGCTTGACCTTTTCTCCCATACCCAAGTTGGCATTGCTGTAGCTGGGGCCTAGAATTCTTTATAATTACTTTAAAATTAGCCCTTAATAAATTCAGTGCTCAGCTTATTTTTCAGTACTCTGCACTGTTGCATATTGCACAAACATAAACATTCTGGGGTTATTTTCCACAAATAGCTAAGCCCATGCATACGTGTTTGTGTGTGTGTGTGTGTGTGTGTGTGTGTGTGTGTGTGTGTGTGTGTGTGTATGCATCCTCCTCAAATGATAACACTACTTCTTACACTGGAAAAGTATCTTGCAATAGCTATCTATGTATTGTAAGAAAAAAATAGTCATTTCTTTAGTAAATGAATTGCCTTTAGCATGAGAATTCGGCATCCTTGTGGGTTGTTTTCCATGGGTGCAGAGGGCCCAAACATCTGGAGTGCTCTGGGTCCCTATTAAGATAACTCATCAAGGCAACACACGTTTGATTAATATACTAGTCCCTTAGCCATTTGTCTATGGAAGCTCCTTCGACCGAATTAAACACACTGACAGTAAGTGAAAGCTGAGCTTCAGCATGAAGAAGCAGGAAGTGTTTGTTCTTGGAAGCATTGTACAACCTCGTTTTCCCAAGAACTTTAGCAGAACACACTTCAGTGTCCCAGCTAGGGAATGGAGGGAGAGTCGTGATGCAGTTTCGGGTGCTTGCCATGAATCAGGACAGTGCTTCACCACTGATACTCCATTCAGGTGTGTTGTCTAAACATTTATATTTGTAAACATCGCTGTTGCTTTCTAGTTAATTTTGGATTCTGCTCTGTACATTGACTAAACAGTAAGAGATTCTGTGAGCTCAGTTATGCAGAAATGTGCTTTTGTGGTTTTAGGGTGGCAATTGGGAAGCCTACGGGCAAATATGGATGTGGGTGAGAAGTGGGCAGGGTGGGCTTATTTTAGTGATGGACTTCGTCTTAGGATAAGGGAAACACAGGACCTGTGCTTACTCATGGCCCTGGCATTGATGAGTCATGACGAATCAGTCCGATTTGCTCTTGAAGAACTAACACCCACCACAGATCAATGAATTGTGAATATAATTTCAGGCTGAATCAATGGTAGATTATGCAACAGAAAGTGGTATGTAGAAGCCATTTAATTTTCCATGTAGACTCTGTGCTCTGGAAGTGTATATCCATAGTGTATATGCACTGTATATTTATGTGTGTGTTGTATGATGGAATATTAATGGGTTAAAAATTAAATTGTGGGCCAGGCAGTGGTGGGGTGTGCCTTTAGTCCCAGCACTTGAGAGGCAGTGGTAGGTGGACCTCTATGAGTTCGAAGCCAGCCTGGTCTATAAAGCTAGTTTTAGGATATCCAAGGCTACACAGAGAAACCCTGTCTCAAAAACAAAGAATTAAATTGTGTTACAGGATGGAAAATATCTAGCACCCATTCATGCTCTTGTCCCAGCCACTTAGAACCCAGTCTCTTATCAAATTGGTGTATAATTAAAATGTCAAACAAAAGTCTATTGCATGTTTTTTGTTAAAGACAAAATTAAAACTTTTCAAACAACTTTACATTGCAATCATTGATATAAAAGCTTTCATTGTTTCATTTTTTCTTCATGGC